TCTGTTTTACAGATCTGTCTTCTCTGTTTGCAGACTGATGATTCCTCACCTCTCAGGCAAATGCACTCTGATTTTGGAGGAAAAATACCCTATTAGTTGCCTCTTGTGACATGCCTTTTAGGGCGGCAGTAGGTCTATCCTCCGCACCCCCCCCCCCAAAAGAAATTGGGCCCCAGAGCCCACACTGGGAAATCACTTCAACCTACACACAAGCAAAAAACATTCTTAAACAGCCAGAATAACTGTCTTTAAATAATAATAATAAAGCATTTTTTTTTAAGTCTTCAAAGCCTATTTACTACTTTTAAGGGTTGTGAAGGACAGAGGTGGATGTGGGGAGGGAGTGAGCCTGAGGATTTAAGGCTACATGGCTAGTGCGGCTGCCATGAACAGTGCATGTTAGGATTTTCATTTCTGCCTCAACATCATCATAATCATGTAGCAGGTCCTTTGCAAAAACTTTGCTCTCATCACGGTCTGTCTGAAAGACTCTCAGTCTCACGCCAGCTCTCCCACCTCATGTACTTTCATACTCAAGTAGTCACTGATATCCTGTGCCCATCTTTGTGTTGATCGGCTCTTGCCCCTCCTTCCTGGTATCATGCCTTCTGCTATTATTTATACATTAAGAACAACAACAACAAAATAGATCCATCACTTATACAGAACCCAACTCGTTCAGATGAAAGTCCAGTGCTCTAACGACTTAGTCAGCCACTACTAAGAATGACTAATTAATATTTTGAAAAACTACGGAAAGAAAAACATTTAACATAACTACAAAATGTTACAAAAAGAAGACCATTCACAGTTATAAAAAGCTATGGAAAGATAAAACATTTAACATGACCATGAAAAGCTGTGAAAAGATGAACCTTTAACGTTACCATAAAAAGATCAGAGAAATAAAAACAATAACAAAGATACAGAAATAATAAAATGGGCCTAAGATAGAAGCATGGAGGAATATCACCGAGAGAATAAATTTGCAACATGAAGGGCCAAGATATGTGGAGAGACATGGGTGTCCTATGCCAGTGAGCAAGGCACATGATAGTGATGATGTCTGTGAAAAACCTGGTCTATTTAGTCACAGCTGCATCTGAGATTATGCTTCTCCAATCGATGTTTTAATTAAATTTCTGTCATCCTTGACTTCTTCATCTCAACCTTTTCACCCTGTGACTACTAACAACACTTTTTTTTTTGAAGTAATGTATCCGTAGGCATTTCCGGAAAAAATTCTACATTACACAGGAAATTAATAAATTATTTTAAAATGTATTTCATTACATATGTTCCCCGTGTGGGTTCCGGGGCCCCATTGTAGGGGAAAACAAGAATAAACCCATTGCCTCCCCAAAAGCATGTCGTAAGAGTCGACTAACTGGGGAGCTTACTTTGAAGTCGGAGTGCATCTGCTGGAGAGGCAAGGAACCAACAGTCTGTATTCAAGAGAATGAGATCTGTAAAACTGATGCACACGCAACACTCAGGTTCTGGAGCAGGACTGCAGTTCAGTAGTGGATGAGTAACCAGAACTTTCTGTCAGAGTGTACAGCTGGTGAAATCGAAGAAGAAGAAGAAAATTACATATGTTAGTAATAAATTGTTTTTAACAAATTATTTATCTACATTTGAAACTTTTTTCGAAATATACAAAGATATATAAAGGGGTAATCAACAAACATGAACAGGGTGAAGCATTAAAAGGAAAACATTCCCCGGGGCGTAAAAAACACAAAATATATTGGGTTTCTCATGCTGTGACCCTGTGACCTCTATCACTGTGGCTTATGGGAAAACTTGAGATTAACTTGGCTTTCAAAAAGCCATTGGGATCATAAGGAGGCCCTCCTAAATGCTATTCATATCCTGGCATAACAAACACTGGGCAGGCGCACAGGGGACCAATGGAATTGAACAATTTTTATTTTAACAGACTACTATAGAAACAGCCATCTATCAGCAGTTATGAGTATGAGGCACAACCAACAATGACTAGATTTAGGCTTCTCAAGGTAAAATAGTTATAGTCCCTGTGGTACTGGTCCTACCAGTCCACAGCCAACTGCATGTACTGCAAATTATTTTTGAAACAGATGTTACTCCATGTCATGATGCCAAACTGGCCTCTCTTCTGCATCCCAACATTCATGTTATCACTATTATTACCTGGTATGAAATCACAACAGAAAGACAGGTCATGGTATATTGCAATAAAGTTTTGCATAATAAACATACATGAAATTACATCAAGAGACAACAGATAAAAAGGTGGCATGACTAGCACAATTTAGGGCACCCACAGAGAGCACTGTCACTCAGACACAATGGAAGCGCAGAGCTAGATGTTGCCATCGCAACCGATGGACAGATGAAATATCTAAGGGCAAGAATACCAGCCTCTATGTAGCACACAACAAAGCTTGCACCTGATGCCTCTTTAAAAACTGACAATGAAAGACAGAAAGGGGTCTAGAGAAAAGAAAGAAACCTAACATAGAAAAATTCTTTTACAGCAATGAGCTGCAGACTGCATTCAACACATTTTATGATTTGATATGCGACAACAGCAACTCATTTCTGAACAGTTAACACTGTCATCAAGGGCAGTCACAAACCTGGCATTTCTGTCATTGCCATATTCCCTTAAAAGCTATGATACTGGCATGTCTGTAGTTACCTGTTTCTGAGAAGCGAAGTTTAACATCACTGGTTTTGTTTGCGCCTGCGCAGTGTTTAGGAGGTCTGGATATAAATATCACCATCATCATCATGTAGTAGGTCCTTTGCAGAACGTCGCTCTCATCACAGTCTGCCTGAAAGAAACTCAGTCTCTCGCCAGCTCTCCCGCCTCATGTACTTTCATACTCAAGTAGTCACTTATATCCAGTGTCCATCTTCATGTTGGTCGGCCCCTACCCTCTCCTTCCTGGTACCATGCCTTCTGCTATAATTTTTTTCAAATCTGTTGTGGCGCTTGATATGACCAAAATATTTCAGCTTCCGAGACAAGATGCTATTTATTAGCCAATCTTCCTTGATGTTCAGATCTTTCAAGATGTCAGTATTTCTCCTCTTTTTCGTCCAAGATATTTTGAGAATCTTTCTATAGCATTTCAGCTCAAAAGCCCCTATTCTCTTTCTTAAGGACTGGGAGATAGTCTACGACTCACATCCGTATGTTGCTACAGGGAAGATGCATGCTCTCAACATTATAATTTTGATCTCCTTGCTGGTGCTTAACCAGACTTTTTATGCTGTTTAATCTTGGATATGAATATATTTACTAACAATAGCCTTTAGAGAGGTTTTCTTGTAAAACCAAATGGTAATTTTAAAGCCATTTTGATGTCAAATTTCCCCCTCAGCCTCAGAGATAGAGGTCATGGCATGAGTCACCCAACACAAATGGTGTTTTAGGCCTGGAGAAATGTACTCCATTTAATGCTTCACTCTCTCTTTGTTTACTGACTGCTCCCTTGATACATCTATATATAAATTTCAATAAATTATTATAAACTTTTTTTTTTTTTTACATATGTGCATAAATACATTTTAAAAACATTTATTAGTGACCTGTGTGAAATGTTTTTTTAGGGAATTTCCATGGTTTCATGAACCATATTTTTTATACTGTTCTTGTCCCAAAAGAGTTCAGATGGGTACACTTCCAATAAAGGAAAAATATACATCATATAAAATATTGCCCATTAATAACATATAGTAACTGTTTTTATTAATTCTTTGTGTCTACATAAAGCAATGAAATAAAAATAAAAATAAAAACTATAAACTATTTGCTATAACAACTAATAATCTGTTAGCTACCAGATAATAAACTAAAGAAATAAAGCACAAAAACTAGCAGCTAGAATTCAGCAACTGAAGCAATCTAACAAACAAAAACAAATTAAATATTTCACACTTCACATATACTTTATCTCTTTGCGATGATGACAATGAATATGTTTCACAATCCTGGATATTTCCGGGTTAAATTTTCATGGTGGGCGGTTTAGAAAAAGACCATTCCCACGGCCTTTGGGCTGTGGTGCAAGAGTTCCACCATGGAAGAGATGGGGATCTTCATTTTGCATTTGAACACAGCAACAAAGAAAAATCTATAAGTTTATGTGGTGAAGGAGTGTAAAAGAACAGTCTATCTGATGGGTGATGTCAGTTTTTTTTAGACCTTTATGTCTTACAACAGGGATATTCGACCGGCCGTGCTTTATTAATTTCCTACCCCAGATGATGTCACAGGACAGTTCCACATTTTAGAGGGTGGGAAGGTTTCCCGGCTTTCTGATGCTTTTAAAACCCCAAAATATCTGGAACTGGCCCTAACATCAACCCACCTAGGACCCAGGAGAGAGTGCAGCCTAGATCCCACGACTGCATGCAGCCTATCTACCATCCCCTAAAATATTAGACTGTCCTGTGACCTGTGAATTTCCCCTGTTTTGGGTAGGATATTAATAAAGCACCCAACTGGCTGCCCACGGGCCATATCTTACCCACTGAGGTCAAACAAGTGGACTGCAGATCATCACCAGTTGTATTTTATTAATGATCTTTCTATGCTGGGTCTCGGGCCCGTGAGGACCCCCATTTTAAAAATTCTGGCCCCTGAGCAATCTTAGTTGAATAGTCCTCTGTCTTACCAGATTACCAGGATATCTGGCCCACAGGAGTGACCCTACAACACAAACGAGAACCAGTGAAGACCTCGAACACACTGCCCTGTTTGTGGAAGATACACAGCCAGTGTTGACTGATGAACAAGGAGGGGGAGGAGGAGGAGTCAAAGAACTCAGTCTACTGAAATATAAAAAAATAAATTCAGAAGATTTCTATCTCTATTTCTGTCTTTAAGTTCTTCAAGTGATCATCAAAACACGTGAACAGAGTTTTTGGCTGTTAATTCTACAATATTTACATATCCCTGCAGTAAACAATGAACATTCAAGGCTGCGGTCAAAACAGTCCACTGTTTAATAGTCCTCTGGAATATCCACATCCACACTGTTGTACTCAGCTTTCGTTAAGTCCAGGAAGTGGTCCAGAACATCGCTGCCAGGTGCGTTGTTGCTCATGCTGCTAGCAGTGGACACCTCACTCAGTGATCCCCGTCTGAGGACAGCCAAAGATTTTTTCATATATACAAAGTTTAGGTCAATTTACTGGACTGCCAAAAGTAAAAACTACCACTTTTGTTGTGTAAGCGGAGCATGAGGATTTAGGGGTGCAGTGGGAAGTGGTATTGCCACAAACTGTGCGAATTAGGATTGTATTTTAACTTATAGGACAAATGGCAACAATACTGAGGAACAAACATGTATCAATTGATATTTTAAAAAGCACCCTAGAACACAATTTTCTTGACCAATTCTGTGCTAGAAAAGGCAATGACCACAAAAGACAAAAAGAAAAATTACAGCTAAGATGAGATTCCTGAGAAGAGTCTTCAATTTCCTCTTCTTCTTCTTTTGTTGTGATTCACAGCTAGGATGTAATATCTGTCATCTACCAAATGTATCTGATTTCAGTAAACTCTTAACTAGTCACCTTTTATAACATGTTTGTTTGGGGTGTAGGATTGCGGGGAAAGGGGGATAAGTCTACTCCAGCCATCCCCAACCATTCCACCATGACAGAGCTCTAGAACCAAAATGGGGAGAGCCCATCAACAAATCAAAAGAAAAAAAAAAGATCAGTATGTACAAACTAGAAAGAACGTGGGAGTAGCAGCAGCACTAGAGTTCATTACAAAAGGCTCAGTCTATTAATCACACGCACACACTAGTGTGCACACATGAACACTCATGCATACATGTAGACACACAAACAATATAAATAAACCCAGACATGTACACACACACACACACAGACTATATACACATGTACACACAATCCAGCTAGTCAATCAGTCAGCCAATCGCACGCACACACATACACACATGTAAACCCAACCCAGTCAGTCATCCAACAAACGCATACAATCCAGCATGTCAACAACAACAACAACAACAACAACAACAACGCTAAAATCACACACACACATTTCCATCCAACACATACATTCTCACCCAAAACACACATATAAATAAACGCACCCTAAAATAAACACACCCCAAAAATAAACACACCTTCAAGTAAAGACATCCCCAACTAAAGACACCCCCAAAAACTCACGTGGAGTAATTCACCAAGTCTGTCCTGGAGCTGGAGAAAGTGCTGGTATTCTCCAACAACTGAATGTCGTTTCTTCTCAGGAACTCCTCAAAGTACTGGTAGTTGTCAGATGGAATGAATGGCAACAATTCTGGGGTTCACAAGGCAATGAAGAATTTGAACAAAGAAGACACAAACAACAGACTGCACAATTTATTGCCTGGCATATTTTGTTGTATCTCGTCAGGTGCATACTACAGTAACAATTGTATAAAATTAAGCAAATAAATTAATCCTTCAAACTGAAACTCAAAATCAACTACATAAACAGGGCAAACACAGGGTGAAGAGCATGTCCATTTATCTGCATAATTCTGGACTAAACAGATTTATCGCAGTCGCTTCCACAACTCTCAATAATCTATGGTTGGCTGAAGTGTAAATAATCTGAAACACATCTTCCTTGTTTTCAATGTGCCCAGAATTCACAATAAGGGATAAAATGGCTGTGTTTTCTTTGTTAAAATTCACAACTGGGAAACATTGCTTTCAATTATGAATTGTTAACATCAACAACAACTTCCCTGTGTGGGTTATGGGGTTCCTTTCTGAATGGACTCACTGCTCTCTAGCAAGCATGACCTAAAAAGTGATTAAGTAGATTTCTTCTAAACATGGATGTGTTGGGCTTTAAGGTGCAGATATCAAAACCTTGCTGTAAACCGTAACATAATCAACTACCCTTTTAGCCCTGTCGCCCCAAGAAGCTGCAAAACCAACACTTCAAGCAACATTGGGGGAAGAAGAGGAGAGAAAAAATTAATCTGCCTCAATGTGGATTTGAACCCTAGACCTTTGAGTCAGGAAGTGAGTGTCTAGCCACTATACTGCCACAACTCTCACATTCTTAGTAACATGGCAATAAACTTACACTAGGTAATAATCTTACACTACAGCGGCAAGAACAAGTAATTACAGAGAAGTCATACATGAAGACAAGAAAGATATCAACCAAAGCAGAATAAACCAACAATAAAGATAGTCGGTCCCATAGAGTCACTGCCACTGAAATGTGAATTATCAACCAAAGCAGAATAAACCAACAATAAAGATAGTCGGTCCCATAGAGTCACTGCCACTGAAATGTGAATTATCAACCAAAGCAGAATGAACCAACAATAAAGATAGTTGGTCCCATAGTCACTGCCACTGAAATGTGAAGTTTTGGACCTTCACACATTCTGGGTCATGAAATACTATTCTCAGTGCTCACCAGCTGTAAACTCTGGTAGAAGTTCTGGTTTTTTTTTGTCCAGTTCAGAACTTTGGTCTTATTCCAAAACTTGAGTTTTGCGTGCAAATCTGTTTGATACACCTGGCTTACTTGTAAGCAGGCTGTCAGTTCTTCACCTCGTAGACATGTGCACTCTAACTTTGAAGGAACATCCTCTATATTAGTCCCCTTTTACAGCATGCATGTTAGGGGGCAGCAGGCTTATTGTTTTTTCCTTTCAAAATGGAGCCCTGAAACTACTATGGGGATGTCACAAATATTTTTTAGGTCCTGTTTCCACGCCTTTAGGTATATACGGCTAGACCTATATTTTTTTTTAGACCAACTGGCACAAGATGGGTGATATGGTCAGCATCACGCTGGTCGCCTTTACTTCCTGAGACTGCACCCGGTACCCACTCAAGGCTAGGTCGACATGGGAGTCCTGGTCATTTTTGAAAAAAAGTCTGGCTCCGCCAGGGAGCAAAAGGATGTCACAATAAATCGTACAAAATATTGTTTGTGACCTCATTACTGAAATTCATAATAAGTTAGTTTAATTCATAATAAGTTGTTTCAATTCACAAATAATTGTTTCAATTCACAAATAGTTGTTTAAATTCCCAATTAGTTGTTTAAATTCCCAATAAGTTGTTTAAATTCACAATAATTTGTTTAAATTCACAATTAGTTAGTTAAATTCACAATTAGTTGTTTAAATTCACAATAAGTTGCTTAAACTCACGATAATTTGTTTAAATTCACGATAAGTTGTTTTAATTCACAATAAGTTGTTTAAAATCAAGATAAGTTGTTTAAATTCACAATAACTTGTTTAATTTCATGATAGGTTATTTGAATTCACAATAAGTTGTTTAAATTCACAATACGTTGTTTAAATTCACAATAAGAAAACATTGTTTTTAATTCAGAAAACTGTTTTCAACTTTCTTGAGGCTGGCCCGATCTCAAAGCTATATTGGTTATTGAACAAACAATAATCTGGCCTGTTTGAGAACCTACAACAGTATCTTACCAGACAAAAGCTGTTTCCTTTCTGGTCCTAACAAATGCAAGACTTCATCACAGAACTCGTTAAAATGGTTGTCTTTCTTCCATTCATTCAAATGTCTCAAAAACAACCTCAATTCCTCGGGGGTTAATTTTGTTGTCAGCTGAAAAGAAAACATAATCATCAAGATCGTATAATTCTATAGACAGAGAGAGAGAGAGCCTGACACACACAAAAGTATATAGTCTTCACCAAAAAAAAAAAAAACTGTACAAAAGTTGCATTACTAAATTTATGCAGAAGTTGAGGGATAAATGCAAATGATCTTTCACTTCTACAACTGAATGAAAAAGAAGAGGGCAAAGAAGAAACTATAATGACAACATCAACAAATGGGGCAGACTAAGTTATCAAACAGTAGTTCATCAAGTGGAAGACAGAGATGGATGGTGGGTTTTGTGTGTTGTTGTTTCCTTTGATACATCTCCACCCTAACGGGTGCAACATTAGCACCCAATTACTTAGTATTATTGAGAACTGGGTAATGCTGGTCAAAGTACTAAACTACTGCTTCAGTAATGTTGGCCAAACTACTGATGGAGCAATTTTGGCCAAACTACTGCTGGAGCAATGTTGGCAACACTTCTGCTAGAGCAATGTTCGCCAAACTACTGATACAGCAATGCTGGCAAAAACTACTACTGGAGCAATGCTGGCAAAAACTACTACTGGAGCAATGCTGGCAAAACTACTGCTGGAGCAATGCTGGCAAAACTACTGCTGGAGCAATGCAGGCAAAACTACTGCTGGAGCAATGCTGGCAAAAACTACTGCTGGAGCAATGCTGGCAAAAACTACTACTGGAGCAATGCTGGCAAAAACTACTGCTGGAGCAATGCTGGCAAAAACTACTACTGGAGCAATGCTGGCAAAAACTACTGCTACAGCAATGTTTGTCAAGTGAGAGATGGAGCAATGTAGGCCAAACTACTGCTGGAACAATGCTGGTGTAATGTTGGCCAAACTACTGTTTAGGTAATGCTAGCCAAACTACTGTTTAGGTAATGTTGGCCAAACTACTGTTTAGGTAATGTTGGCCAAACTACTGTTTAGGTAATGCTGGCCAAACTACTGCTGGAGCAACGTTGGAAGAAACTATTGCTTGGGCAATGTTAGTTACTTGCTGTTTCAATTGTGTTGTAGCCATTTTGTATGACAGTATCTCCAGTAACGTGTTAATGCTAGTGTAAATGGAGTGTTTTTTTTTAAGGCATAGTTCTGTCTTTACCTATGATAGTATTATATTTGCTATAGTAAGGCGTGGGAACCATCATAGTCAGACACTTGCATGAAGATCAGAAAGTCTTTGGTTCAAGTCCTGACGGAGCCTGACTTTTTATTTCAAACATGACCTTAGCTCCCAGGTCGACCCATCCTCAAATAGGTAGTAAAGGTGACCAGTGCGATATCGACCACAACACCCAGTGAACACTGACTGGTCTATAAAATATAGGTCAAGCCCTATATGCCCAATACACCTGAAGGTGTAGAAAAGGGTCCTTCACTTACTTTACTTATAGGGAGGGCATAGGAATCCCAGCCTTTCTATAGCACAAAGACCAGGCAGTGCTGCAGAGACCATTTATTGCCTATGCAGCATGAGCCAACTTCATGAGTGCGTGTAAGCTCTCTCTCTCTCTCTCTCTCATGCACGCACGCATGCACACACACACACACACGTACCTTTCTTTAGTGCATGCTATGTAGGCTTGATTATTATATCTGTCCATATACTGTATCACAACTGATACATATGAGTAGAACAGACAGAAGATTGTATAGATGGATGTGTGGAGAGAAAAAAAGGGTGGTGTATAGAGATAGAGTGAGTGAGAGAGAGAGGGAGGGAGAGATAAAGAAAGAGAGAGAGAAACTATTTTAAAAAGGGCATTTACCTTAGCCATGTAATCCTCCAGTAACTCCTTGCCTGTTCCTATGTCACTGGAGCTGTTCCTGGCACTGTCTGAGCCGCTAGGAACCCGAAAGTTATGTACTGAGGCAGACTGACTGTGGGCAAGAGAAATTAAGTACATCAACTGTTGCAGGAACACACTCTTCATTTTTTTTTGGGGGGGGGGGGGGGGGGTTAAACCCCTGACCCTAAGTAAGTTAGCTGTGTATCCTTCCCAGCATGTTAAAAATCAATCCTAACCGTTCTTGAATTTTTGTGGTTTTACTAGGTAATTTTACATTCAGTAATTTGTCCCTGCTTTCTGCAAGCTTGGTGCTCCATACAGTATTATAATCAATGCTGGCAAGGAACCAACAGTCTGCATACACATCAGTCGGATCTGTAAAATGGGTGAAGCCGCAACATTCAGGTTCTGGAACCAGACTAAACTCCACAGGTGGACGAAGGCCCAGAACTTTCCGCCAGAGTTTACAGCCCTGAAGAAGAAGAAGATAATCGATGTAAAGCAGTCTACTACCAAATCACCTGCAGCTGAAGCCAACCAGACATTTTGGAATTAAAAACTGTATTCCCAACCCCATAGCCTCATACACTGTCATTAATGTACTTGATCATTATCTTGTCTATCACTATATATGTTAATCTTTATGTTGTCTGTCACTGCGATGTGCATGGCTCGATGGTACCCACTATGATAATGTGGCTCCAGGCAATGGAAATATTTTACATATCAGACTTACAAAAGAAATGAAAACTGACAGCACATCTGCTATATGATTCATAAAAAAGTAAAGCACCCTTTCATGAAAACTGACAGCACATCTGCTATATGATTCATAAAAAAGTAAAGCACCCTTTCATGAAAACTGATTGCACATCTGCTATATGATACATAAATAAGCAGTGGACCCTTTTCATGCCTTTGGAAAATGGGGCAAATAGTCTAGACCTGTATTTTTAAAGACTGAATGGCACTCAGAGGGTGATGTGATCAGCATCATGATGGCCGCCTTTACTTTCCAGTATATTACCCAAGTATCCATTTTAGGCTGGTTCAATGTGGAAGTCGAGGTATATTTTGAAGAAAAAAATTCGGCTCAATGCAGATTTGAAACCCGACCTTTAGGCCTGCAGACGAGCATCTAGCCATTATGTTATCGCGTCTCCCCTATATGATAAATACTGACTGAATTTTCTACAGCAACATATCTTTCTATCCAAAACATAGGGAATATATAAATATAAAAACTGAACAGGACAAATATAAACTAGATGACTGTTAATAATCAAGAGCAAATACATTGTAAGAAATGACAACAAAATGTAACACATAACAAACACTTACAAGGAGATCATGTCTTTAATCTCCTGTCTGTGGACAAGTGTAGATGCTGAAATTAAACAGAAATGCATAAAATGTTGGCATTAAACAAATAAACAGCCATATGTCATAACATCATTTGAGAAACCAGTACCAATTATATAAATTAATCCTAAACTAACTTTTTGGGCAGGCTTAGTTAATAATGTTGTGTAACACAGTAGCTAGATGCTTGCATGCTGACCAAGTGATCACAGGTTCTTCTTCTTCTGCCTTTTTCCTAAGAAGGGTGGTTGGCACACTGTGTTGCAGTTTACAGCTAGACTATGATATCTGCGGCTTTCGACATCTGATTTCAGCAAATCCCTAATTTATCACCACTTATGATATGCTTGTTACTTGCCAATCTTGTTACTTGGTCAAACCATTTGATTTGTTGTCTACCTATAAAGTTCAGTATTAGTTCTGTGCCGACTCTCCTCCTGATATCATCGTTTCTAAGTCGATCTTTTCTTGTTACATCTAGCATAGTAAGTAAACATGTCATTTCTGTCGTGAGTATTTTCCTTCTGTCCAGGTTTGACACTGAGAGCATAGCGTTGGTAAGAATACTGTGTTGTACAGTGTTCTTTTTCACATACTTGCATTTCAAAATTGATGCCATTTGGCCTAAATCTTGATAGGCTTTATCGCATCTTTGCTGGATTTCTTTATTAATTCTTCTGTCTTTCTTATCTGTTGCTCTATAATGAATTGTAAAACTGGGTACAGTACTAGTCTTCTTCTAATCTATCCACTTTGAATTTTATCTCTTCTTGTTACTCTTCTGTGACATCTCATCTTCATTACTATGGTTTTGTGATCTTCAAGTTGCTCAAAGATTTGTTATTAGTAGACTCATTTTGGTAGATAAAGGTATCATTTTTTAGAATCTTTTTCTGAATCTTAAAAAAAAAAAAAAAAATAATGTCCACAATGAAAACAGAACCCAAACCACACACTAAAATTGACTATAATGACATTGAATAACAAATTTGAAATATTTTGGCTCATTAATGAAGAACAATGGTGACTGTATAGAAGAAGCCAGGAAAAGATTTGCTTTAGCAATGCAGAGGCTATCCAGCAGGAAGAACCTTTTGGCACAACATTTGCAAACAAGTTTTAAAAAAAAATTATTTCTGAGACCATGCATCTTTTCCCTGGCAACTTATACAGGTGAGTCATGGACTCACACTCAGTCTTTGAAGAAAAATACTGGAGCTTTTGAACTGTAATGCTACAGAACAATTCTTAGAATACCTTGAACCAAGAAGAAGCAAACTGCTGACATCCTGCATGATCTGAACATCAAGGAGAATTGGCTCATAAAGAGCATCCTGTCCCAAAAGCTAAGGCATTTTTGGCCATGACAAGCACCATGGTGGTCTAGAGAGTAGGGTGATTGGGAGTGTAGTTTCTGGAAAATGATACAGAGACAATCCTCCGTGGATACAGGACATGGAAGATGCACTGGCTATGACAGCACACAGGGCTGGAGAAAGAGAGACTTTCATGCATGCCATGAAGACAACAATGTTCTGCAAAGGATATAAAAGTTAGTTGCGTATCCTTTACAGGACGTTGCAGAACCAACCCCAGCATGTTTTGGCTGTTGTGGTTTTTCTAGGCACGTTTACGTCCAGTAGTTTGCCACTGCTTTCTGGACGGTCGTCTTCTCGATACCACTGTTGAAACCAACGCAAGGCCCGCAGCTGGGATTGAACCCAGCACCCCGGCATTATGAAGCAGGTTTGCAATGCCTAAGCCACAGAAGCCAACATGAAATGGTATACAGTATCTTTTTAGCCATCATGTTTTAGCCCCACTGTAATAAGAGACACTTTATAGTGAGTCTTCTTAAAGTCTTAAGGACATACTGACTGACTAACTTACCGATCTGTGTGTCAAGACTTTTGCCGAGTTATTCTTGCTTGGTCTTTCACTCAACATCTTCTGGAGACTTGCGCTTCTTCTTCTCTTTTGTGATCACCAGCAGCAAACTCCAGCGGAAAGTCCTAGTTGTCCGTCCACTTTTAGACTATGGTCTTGTTTTAGGATTTCAGTTTTGCCTGCACATCCACTTTACAGATGTGGCTTATTTGTGTACAGACTGTTAGTTTGTCGCCTCTTGGGCATACGCATGCTGACTCCAAAGGAAATGCTCGCTAGCTCAGTTGGTTAAACCTGACTGTGCGGCGACCAGGTGACGAACTCCTTGTGGTCAAAGTTCACGCCCGGGAGTAGGCAGAAAAGCCACATTTCACCCAGATTTACGGTATCTATGATGGAATCAAGACAGAAGGGTTGCGGTATCCATAGTACCGAGCCAAAGGGTTAGCAACTCATGATTTCTTGATATTTAAAAATAAAAATCCCTGCCAACTACATTGTATTAATGATCTTTCTATGCTGGGGCCTAAGCCACTGGCCCGTGACAATCCCTGTTTTCAACATGAGTAGACTTAGTCGAATAGCCCTGCAGTAAACCATAAACTACTTCATGTGCTATTTAAGGTTATTATATGTCTATCTTAGCAACCAACCTGTTCCAATGGACGTTGTACTAGAATGTTCTGTGGGACTAATAAGCCTCTCTATGGAGTTCACAGTTGCTTCTGTGTACACCAAGGTAAAGCACTGGTTCATCAAGGCACATATTTCTTCAGCAGCAGGCTAATTGATAAGAAATGTAAAATGTGAAAACATCACACTTAACAAATCTGCATATATCTGAAAGCTATATAAAACTGACAAAGGCATCTGACTGACTCTCACCTGTACAGAAAAGTAGGCTACACCAAAGTAATACTAGGGGTAGCTGTTGGGTATCACCCTTTAAATGTTTTCATTGGTTGAAAAAAGGTACCAGAAGTTTGTTCCCGTTAGATTGGCATAAAAAATATGAATCTTTGAGTCACAGGGTGTCATATTTCCAGGCAGTAGTCTGATAGAGGTAATACAGAGGGGAAAACAACAAGGCAGCTCAAATTGTTTTCCTCCATTTACACAAGATTCTTCTTCCTCTGTTCCTGTCCTCTTTTGGTTTATGCCTTTTGTAGTTTGGCATTACAAAGTGTTCTCTCTAAATGGGCAAACAATTTCATTTGCTGTCTATGTAATTTAGTACTGGATCTATGCTGCCTTTATCTCTTAGTTTTAACTCTTCTAGTCACTCTCATACATTTTTAGACATTTCATTTCTACAGCAACTAACTGTCATTTCTGCACTGTTGTGAGACAAATAAAACAGAAATTGTGTATATTTTAATTTTAAAAAAGAGAAGAAGGTCTGGAGAAGATAATCCTGGATGGAGACAATCAGGAGATGCAGACGAAGACCACAAGGAAGGGGGATTCAAGATGTAATGACTTATACCATAGAGCAACACAGACAGGACCTCTGACATGATAGAGACAGATTTTGAAAGACAGTCAAGAAGAAAACTGTTCTGTACAGAAGAAGACAATAAACTGTCGGGGAAAGCTTCAGGCACTTGAATATTTCTTTTCCTTCTGTGTTTGCCATTAAAAGAGCTGTTGGCATATTGTGTTGTAGTTTACTGCTAGGCTGTTACATCTGTGCCCATCAAATCTAATTTCAGTAAATCTTCATTTAGTTCATTTTTACAACATGCTTGTTAAGAAGCAGTGGGTCTATTCTTTATTCCCCCCCCGCCCCCCACAAAAAAGTAGGGCCCCCAGAAACCCACAAGAGCAAGTAAGATAAACAGACTGGCTTTACTAACACTTAAAGATGCAGACAGAAGAAGCAGAGCTAGGAGGCAACATCAAATCAAAAGCTAGTTATCAAAGGGATCAAATTGCCACCTCCAAAATGATGACAGTGCCTTGCCGCTGCAACAAATGTACTTTGTCACATAATCAACTAGACACCCCCCCCCCCCCCCCCCTGCATTGCTAGCCAGGTCTATCATACGGCTAAACCTACATTTGTCCTGCTGTTTCAAAGGGTTCTCCAGTGAACTATTTCTGTATATAATGTTTATACTACACATGATAACAGTGAAGAATCAATCACAAAAATTGTGAAGAAAGACAGGTGAAGGAAGAGGCTGAAGATTTTATTCCTGAATTATTTTGAGCATACCCTTATTTATTTTTATTATTCTGTTAAATCTTATTCTTTTCTTTCTCTAGTTACTACAAAAAAAGTGTTGAGGAAAAAAAAGGGGGGAGAGGGGTGTAATTATCTTCTGTATGCTCTTTCTAATGCATTTTAAAGGCCGGTCTTCATTTTTAAAAGGTTTCGCTCATGCTGTCATGTTATGTTACCTTCTGGTCTGTGCTTACTATATTGTATGTCTGGTTGTAGTTCGAGTCCTATTAGTCATTTTAAAATGAATTTGGAAGCATTATTTTGTCAAGCTTGTGGTGCAGTACATCTGATTTCGACCAAGAATTTTTGAAGAGGTTTGCTTTCCCTAGCCACTGAGTGTCCCCAGTCTACCGGCAAGGCAGCAGGGTCATGCCTGACTGTGGTTTCTAACCTCTGGCATGTTAAAAAGCTTCCATTAGCATAGCTCTTGGTGTCATCCAAACTCACAAACCATTCTGTCACATCACAACAAAGAGGCAAAGCTCTTGGTGTCATCCACACTCACAAACCATTCTGTCACATCACATCAAAGAGGCAAAGCTCTTGGTGTCATCCAAACTCACAAACCATTCTGTCACATCACATCAAAGAGGCAAAGCTCTTGGTGTCATCCAAACTCATAAACCATTCTGTCACATCAAAGAGGCAAAGCTCTTGGTGTCATCCAAACTCACAAACCATTCTGTCACATCACATCAAAGAGGCAAAGCTCTTGGTGTCATCCAAACTCATAAACCATTCTGTCACATCACATTAAAGAGGCAAAGCTCTTGGTGTCATCCACACTCACAAACCATTCTGTCACATCACATCAAAGAGGCAAAGCTCTTGGTGTCATCCACACTCATAAACCATTCTGTCACATCACATCAAAGAAGCAAAGCTCTTGGTGTCATCCACACTCACAAACCATTCTGTCACATCAAAGAGGCAAAGCTCTTGGTGTCATCCACACTCACAAACCATTCTGTCACATCAAAGAGGCAAAGCTCTTGGTGTCATCCACACTCATAAACCATTCTGTCACATCACATCAAAGAAGCAAAGCTCTTGGTGTCATCCACACTCACAAACCATTCTGTCACATCAAAGAGGCAAATTTTCTTCTAATTTCTTCATTTTTAATTAAACCTCTTCTTGTTACCTCTTCTAAGACACCACATCCTGTTTTATGAATAATCTAAATGATTTATTAGTTTATTACTGAATGCTTCATTATTTTATTACTATACACGTGTTTACAAGAAATTACATCAAATGCATTTACCTTATTTTCACAGAACAGAAGTGCTAGTTTACAAGATTCTTGGTTACCTGAGGAAAAAATTTTGCTTGTTTAAATTTTCTTTTTTTTGTGTGTTTTAACAAAAATTTATATAAACAGCCTACTTCTACCAAGAATTTAAACTTCAAATTTACACATCAATTTAAAATCTGCATTAATCACCGTTCTCCTTCTTTCAGCCATGTAGCATTGGTATCATGCTTGTCCAAAGCGTTCTGTTTCATTTACTGTCAATCACTTTTGATACATGTGTTTCTATGCCATGATGCTGAAATGTTATACACTTAATCCCTCCATTTCACATTGTATTTATCTATTGTGTTCTTATCAGCAACTTCTACAGCAGCTTACTGTCCATGACTTTTTCACCTTCATCAAGATTTTAAACTATATAGTCAAGATCCCTTTTCACACCTTAAGGATCATCGGGCATATGGGGCATTTATATTTTTACAGACCAATTGGCACTAGGTGGGTAATGTGGTCAGCATTACGCTGGCCGTCTATACTTCCCCAGAACATACATCCTGGTACCCATTTTAGGCTGGGTCCACCTGTGACGCCCCATACCATGATAAAAGTCAGCCGTGGGTTTCGATCGCGGTACGCTGAAATTACGAGTCAGACTCGCAATACCTAAGCAAGATAAACTATGTAGCTTCTAAGAACTCTCTTTCTAGTTCAACAAGAAACACAGACTGCACAGAATACGCTTCATTCTAATAAATGCTGCTTTTGCACATAAACAAATACAGAATACCTTAATAAAGCTGCAAATATTTTGTAAGAAAAGTTTAATATAGAAATAAAATTTTTTTACCTTCTTTACATCATGTGCTATACGTGCGTAACTCAGATCATTAAAAAAAAAACAAGGAAATATAACTATAAAACAACCGCGTCCGCATGTGGGATGAGTTTTTTGTTACTCTGAAGCCTGGTTGTTGCAGGGTGCTTTAATATAACCTAAAAGAGTTTCTGGGTGATCACCACCTGCATGGTGGGACTTTGTGTCACTGGGTGTTTATCGCTTAGTGTGATTTCTTAGTGGGGTAAAAAGTCAGTCATACAAGGAAATGTAACACTAACATCAGCCTCAGGGAGACGTACTCCCAATTTAAAGGAAACACCATTAATTAGTTTTCTTTTAGGACATTCTTGTTGGGGGGAAGGGTTAAAATTAGGGCTGTACCGAATAGTGATTTTCACTATTCGGCCGAATACGAATAGCTGGACCAACTATTCGGCCGAATATGAATACGAATACAAATAGTGAATCAGCATCATCATGTGCTTTGCCGGCTGGCAGGGGCGATTATGCCTCGCCACAATCTGCGATCTCCTGCAGCACGTATAGTTCGTGTGCTGACACACCTCCATGAAAAACCTTCGTTCCATGTTGTCAGCATTAGGCCAGCTTTTTGTCTCACTGAAAGTATTTCCAGCTGTACTAAACAGGAAAATACGACAAATACAGAGAGTCAAAATGAAAACCCGCAAGGCGAAACATCAAAAACAAAAATAACGCCGACGGAGAAAACAATGCCGTCCTTACAAGTCGCCAAGCCCCCCGCGAACTCACGAAACCAGACGCCGGGCGGCCAACGCCAGAAGATCAAACAACAAAGACAATGAAGAAACCGAACGTCGATCAAAACATTCAGCCGCTGCCGTTTCCACGAGACGACGAAAGAACAGATACGACCCCCATAAATGATGACGAACTCCCGTTACTTCAAAGAATCAATGAAGAGGACACTCCACTCAAAGAAATCAAGCAGACAACACTACTTGCAACACATGCAAGATGGAAATAAAGGGGCACTTGGTACGCTCGTAGGTGGTGCACAAAGATAACGCTTCACAGTATAAACCAAGGTGGGAAGTCTTGATGTTTTTTTTCCACCAGTCCAGAAACGGTTGTGAGGTAACCACTATTCATGTTCGGCCGAATACCGAATAGTTATTGGGTCCACTATTAGGCCCCGAAGCGAATACGAAGCGAATTTTCGGTACAGCCCTAGTTAAAATGGGTCCATTTTTTCCCACCTCCCCCTACAAAGGAGATCCTGGAACCCACACTGGAAAAAATATCAAAATATACTTTACAGTCAATGTCAGTGAAAATCTGTAATCAAAACATCTTACCATATTTTATGGCCAGTATGTGTTGCTGATCATCCTTAATGTAACAAATGGCTGCTATTTCATGAACAGGGATCCTCAATAGAAGTTCCTGTAGTAATATAAGATACTCATAAGTCACTGTGTAAATAGTCACTAACTTCCCTCTCTCATCTAAGAGATACTCATGTCACTGTGTAAGTAGTCACTAACTTCCCTCTCTCATCTAAGAGATATTCATGTCACTGCGTAAGTAGTCACAAACATCCCTCTCTCATCTAAAAGATACTCATGTCACTGCGTAAGTAGTCACATCTTCCCTCTCTCATCTAAGAGATACTCATGTCACTGTGTAAGTAGTCAAAAACTTCCCTCTCTCATCTAAGAGATACTCATGTCACTGTGTAAGTAGTCACAAACTTCCCTCTCTCATCTAAGAGATACTCATGTCACTGTGTAAGTAATCACGAACTTATCTTTCTCATCTAAGAGATACTCATGTCACTGCGTAAGTAGTCTCTAACTTCCCTCTCTCATCTAAGAGATACTCATGTCCCTGTGTAAGTAATCATGAACTTCCCTCTCTCATCTAAGAGATACTCATGTCACTGTGTAAGTAGTCACAAACTTCCCTCTCTCATCTAAGAGATACTCATGTCACTGCGTAAGTAGTCACAAACTTCCCTCTCTCATCTAAGAGATACTCATGTCACTGTATAAGTAGTCACAAACTTCCCTGTCTCATCTAAGAGATACTCATAAGTCACTGTGTAAGTAGTCACAAACTTCCCTCTCTCATCTAAGAGGTACTCATAAGTCACTGTGTAAGTAGTCACAAACTTCCCTCTCTCATCTAAGAGATACTCATGTCACTGCATAAGTAGTCACAAACTTCCCTCTCTCATCTAAGAGATACTCATGTCACTGCGTAAGTAGTCACAAACTTCCCTCACTCATCTAAGAGATAATCATAAGTCACTATGTAAGTAGTCACAAACTTCCCTCTCTCATCTAAGAGATACTCATGTCACTGTGTAAGTAATCATGAACTTCCCTCTCTCATCTAAGAGATACTCATGTCACTTTGTAAGCAGTCACAAACTTCCCTCTCTCATCTAAGAGATACTTATGTCACTGTGTAAGTAGTCACTAACTTCCCTCTCTCATCTAAGAGATACTCATGTCACTGTGAAAGTAGTCACAAACTTCCCTCTCTCATCTAAGAGATACTCATGTCACTGTGTTAGTAGTCACAAACTTCCCTCTCTCATCTAAGAGATACTCATGTCACGGTGTAAGTAGTCACAAACTTCCCTCTCTCATCTAATATATACTCATAAGTCACTGTGTAAGTAGTCACAAACTTCCCTCTCTCATCTAAGAGATACTCATGTCACTGTGTAAGTAGTCACTAACTTCCTTCTCTCATCCAAGAGATACTCATGTCACTGTGTAAGTAGTCACAAACTTCCCTCTCTCATCTAAGAGATACTCATGTCACTGTGTAAGTAGTCACAAACTTCCCTCTCTCATCTAAGAGATACTCATGTCACTGTGTAAGTAGTCACAAACTTCCCTCTCTCATCTAAGAGATACTCATAAGTCACTGTGTAAGTAGTCACAAACTTCCCTCTCTCATCTAAGAGATACTCATAAGTCACTGTGTAAGTAGTCACAAACTTCCCTCTCTCATCTAAGAGATACTCATGTCACTGCGTAAGTAGTCACAAACTTCCCTCACTCATCTAAGAGATACTCATAAGTCACTATGTAAGTAGTCACAAACTTTCCTCTCTCATCTAAGAGATACTCATGTCAGTGTAAGTAATCATGAACTTCCCTCTCTCATCTAAGAGATACTCATGTCACTTTGTAAGTAGTCACAAACTTCCCTCTCTCATCTAAGAGATACTTATGTCACTGTGTAAGTAGTCACTAACTTCCCTCTCTCATCTAAGAGACACTCATGTCACTGTGAAAGTAGTCACAAACTTCCCTCTCTCATCTAAGAGATACTCATGTCACTGTGTAAGTAGTCACTAACTTCCCTCTCTCATCTAAGAGATACTCATGTCACTGCGTAAGTAGTCACAAACTTCCCTCTCTCATCTAAGAGATACTCATAAGTCACTATGTAAGTAGTCACAAACTTCCCTCTCTCATCTAAGAGATACTCATGTCACTGTGTAAGTAGTCACAAACTTCCCTCTCTCATCTAAGAGATACTCATGTCACTGTGTAAGTAGTCACAAACTTCCCTCTCTCATCTAAGAGATACTCATGTCACTGTGTAAGTAGTCACTAACTTCCCTCTCTCATCTAAGAGATACTCATGTCACTGTGAAAGTAGTTACAAACTTCCCTCTCTCATCTAAGAGATACTCATGTCACTGTGTAAGTAGTCACTAACTTCCCTCTCTCATCTAAGAGATACTCATGTCACTGCGTAAGTAGTCACAAACTTCCCTCTCTCATCTAAGAGATACTCATAAGTCACTATGTAAGTAGTCACAAACTTCCCTCTCTCATCTAAGAGATACTCATGTCACTGTGTAAGTAGTCACAAACTTCCCTCTCTCATCTAAGAGATACTCATGTCACTGTGTAAGTAGTCACAAACTTCCCTCTCTCATCTAAGAGATACTCATGTCACTGTGTAAGTAGTCACAAACTTCCCTCTCTCATCTAAGAGATACTCATGTCACTGTGTAAGTAGTCACTAACTTCCTCTCTCATCTAAGAGATACTCATGTCACTGTGTAAGTAGTCACAAACTTCCTCTCTCATCTAAGAGATACTCATGTCACTGTGTAAGTAGTCACAAACTTCCCTCTCTCATCTAAGAGATACTCATGTCACTGTGTAAGTAGTCACAAACTTCCCTCTCTCATCTAAGAGATACTCATGTCACTGTGTAAGTAGTCACAAACTTCCCTCTCTCATCTAAGAGATACTCATGTCACTGTGTAAGTAGTCACAAACTTCCCTCTCTCATCTAAGAGATACTCATAAGTCACTATGTAAGTAGTCACAAACTTCCCACTCTCATCTAAGAGATACTCATGTCACTGCGTAAGTAGTCACAAACTTCCCACTCTCATCTAAGAGATACTCATGTCACTGTGTAAGTAGTCACAAACTTCCCTCTCATCTATCTTTTCCACCTTCAACTTAAGCACACACATGCATACAAAATCTGGAGCTAACATCATATGCACTCTCATTCTTCATGTTTACCGGCTGTCAACTCTGGCAGAAAGTTCTGGTTCTTCATCCACTTCTGGACCTTTGTCCTGTTCCACAGTTTTGCATGCACTTCTGTCTTACAGATCTACTTATTTGTGTGCATACTGTTGGTGCTTAGCCTTTCAAACAGATGCATTCCAACTCCAAAGGAAACAACTCTAATATGTCTAAGATATGCTTGTTAGATGGCAGTGGATCTATTCTTGTATCCCCCAAAATATCAACATGGAGAACCATATGCTCAATATGAGAGTATCATTTTTAACTCTGTCTCGTAAAGTTAGAGAGGAGTCTTGGCATAGCAGCCAGATGTTCACTCCAGCACGAAGATCTTGAGTTCAAATCTGAATCAAATCTGGAGTAATTTTTGTTGGGATGTCAACAACCTAAGCGCCTAGGTTGAACCAGCCTCAAATGGGTATTAGAAAAAGTCCTGGGAAGTTAAGGCTGACCACAACACCTGATGAATGCTGAATGATTTATAAAGAATCAAGTCCAGCCTCATGTGCCTGATACACCAAAGGCATGTAAAAAGTCCTGCATTTACTCACCTGAGCTGTATAGGTATGTTGGTGGCTTTCCTCAAGTATCTCATCTCACAGGTGTTAACTCTTTGAGTCCCAGGGGGTTTAGCATCACAGGCCCAAGGGGTAGTCAAGAGAGACGTAAAATTGGCGCATCTTGCGTTATTGGGCTTCTAGGTAGGAATCTATGAATGTATGATGCGTTTCTTGGGCCTCAAAGAGTTAACCTACTCTACACTCAGAGGAAAAACAAGAAGGACACCTAATCAAATTGGCACATTGTGTTTGCAGCTAGACGTGATATCCGCACTTTCTGGCCCAATTACAGATAACCCCTAATTAGTTTCCTTGTATGACATGTATGTTATGACGATGGTTGGGCTATTCTTTCTCCAACAAAATGGGGCCCTGGAAGCCACACAGAAAAATAACTCCCCTAATGATAATATCTAAGGGTCTATCTCAAAAACAATACTGCAGGGCTCAGTAAAGGTAAAGAGGAGAAGAGGCAGACCAAGAAAGACCTGGTTACAGAACCTGACTGACTGGCCAGGCCTCAGGCATGCAACCATGAAGTCCATCGCAACTGACCGCCAAAGGTGGAGAGAGCTGATCAGACAGTCAACAGAAACTGATGACCCAACAACATGTAGTGATACGGGATGATAAATAATAAGGTCCTGTTACAAAATTTAACACAAACAGAAAGTGGCAGTCTTGTTCAAAAAAGACCCTCTGGCATGACAGTGACGTTAACAATTCTGGAATGATCCAATTTATTTCTACAAATTCTTCCCTGTGTGAGTTCTAGGGACTCACTGCAAAAGGGGGGGGGGGGAAGACCCACTGCCTCCCTATCAAGCATGTAAGTCGACTAACTGTGAGTTCACTTTAAAGTCAGAGTCCATCTGCCTGAGAGGCAAGGAACCAACATCCTGCGTACAAATAAACAATAACTGTCAAACCGATGTGCATGCAACACTCAAGTTATGCAACAAGACTAACCTTCAGAAGTGGATAACAACCAGAATTGTCCACCAGAGTTTACAGCCAATGAACATAAAGAAGAATATTTCCACAAATCGGATTTGTTGGGCCAATATCACAATGTTGGTAGCTGTACACCACAATACAATGTCCCAACTATCCTTTTGAGGATGAATGTAGAAGAAGGAGGAGGAAGAGGACGAAAAGAAGAAGAAAAATCAGAAGAAGAAGAAATAAGAAAGCAACATTTGTGAATTCCTCACCTCATTAGCACTGTATTTACTAATCTTGATGTTGAAAACACTGAGGCTGAGAATGGCATAGTTGTCATGTGAAACATGAATAGGGACAACGCCTTCTTTCTGAAACAGAACATATACACATGATTAACTCTCTTGCCACCAGAGGACAGTTAGAGAAGTTATAAAACTGAAACTGCTGTGTTCCTTGGAAACCAAAGAGTTAACTCTTTCAATACAATACCAGCCAGTAATCACTTTGACTCTTTTCTATCTAAATAATTTTTAACCTGCCACTATTTGGATTGAAGAAAATTAAAATAATAATAATACATAAATACCTAAATTAACAAAACAGCTATACAGTAAAACAATATTAACATGAACTTGCTAAAGAAGAACACTCAGTTGACAGGAACATAATTCCCAGCAGAGATGGATTATTATTAGTTCCATGTGAGCACAAATTTTGTTAACATGAATTCTTGATTTTTCGGTCTCTTGGAATTTTCATAAACAAAGTTAATGATAAAAAAGGTAAATCTAGCCACTTTCAGCGATAGAAGTAAAGAGGAACACGCTCTGTTTGAACAAACCAATGAATCTATAGTGCGCTGCATAGTATCCAATGAGCTGAACACTGTTTGCAGCCAGACTCAAGTACTAAGGTCACAAGAACAAAACAATCTCTCTATCTTTTTGGAGGGAGGGGGGTTAAATTAGCAGACTGTATTGATAATGGTATGAGTGCTGGACTGTCCAGAAGATGCTGGCAAACTAGAGAAGGAGAAATTGTTTAGTCTCTTCTTCTTTGTGTTTACAGGCTACGAATTCTGACAGAAAGTCTGGTTTGTTTGTCCACTTGGCTTTGTATCAGGACCTGAGTTTTGCGTGCACATCCGTTTTACTGGCTTATTTGTGTGCAGTTCTCGTCCCCTGCCTCTCTGGCAGATGTACTCAATCTTCGAAGGAAGACATCGAACCTATCTCTAGGATGACTGTGACCACTGTTTAGTAGAAAAATTATGTTGCCTCATTTGTGTGATGTCCTCTTTATCTCCTTATCTGCAGATATTGCCTACGGAAAAGCCCTTTTAGTGCAACCTTGTGTAGACCGGACAGCCCTCAAGGGAAGGCAGGGGCAGATCATGGGCATTCCCCACCATTCCAGGATGCTGCCATAAATGCACAGCTGACACATGAAGCAACATTTTGTTCTACCATTACTTTTCCTTTCATTTTAGCTGAAAATCCTCAGCCATATCTATCACCCTGATGAACAGAACCATCGGTGTCCACCACTGCATTCTCTAGCCCAGCCTTTCCATCTATCCGTTGTTGCATCTCTAATTCTGCTATACCGTTACACCACTCTCTACATTCTCTTCCTAACTTGATAATGACCTGATGGAAACCGCAGTTATGTGTGTTTGTGTCGACCCATTCCTGCCTCCTGTGTATTTGCTTGACTGAGGCCGCCGTCTCAATGGTATCTTTAGCTAGTGCCATCCCTGACTTTCCTCTTTTCCACCCGTCTCCTGTTAGATCATTCAGATTACCATGCAGCGGATGCCTAACATCATTGGTAACTAGCATATAGGCCTTGGCTTTCGCCAGTGACATTCCAGACTTTACCATTGTCAGCCTAAGCATATACCTCATTGTTATAATTGTGGTATCTCGTGTGCAACCCAAGACGATTCTCATTCTTTCATTGTGAATCCTTTCAACTTTGAACACTGTGAAGTAGATAGGGTTAATTTTCCTAGGCCATAATCGATTACAGAAAGTACCAAACAGTTGAACAATAAGACCAATAATCGCTGTTCCATGTGTGTCACCACCATCGTCTTCAGTGCCGCCAGGCCAAGCTTGCATCTGATCACAGTCTGCTCCACATATTTGTAGGACAGACTGCTATCAAATGTCAAACCTAAGTATTTCAGCTTATCTCTTCCTTCAACATTAGTACCCTTCATGGAAATGCTGGGCAAGTTTTCCTTTTCAATGCTGTTATTTAAAGAGCACCACAAAACACTGGCCTTCTCTGGGTTTACCCTTGACCCTGTCTGTTCACACCGCTTCGTCATCTCATGCAAAGCACTTTGAAAGTCTCTGGTCATGTCGTGCCTGTCTGACCCATTTGGATATATTAGGACATCATCTACAAAGTTCAAAGTTTGCCCTGGTTCAGCAGGCTGAATTTTTGCCACACATGCTGTAGATATGTTAAACCAGACAGGTGACAATGGTGATCCCTGGGGAAGGCCAGGGCAAACGTGTATTGGATTTGATCTCCATGTTCCCAAACAAAATACCTAATCAACTAAATCTTCTATACATAAAATTCTGCTGACCAAAACCTGCATTTTTCAGCTTCAGAAACATCTATACATCAACTATACTCTGTAGTGTCTTAAATAGCCAGGTTTTGAAATTGACAAGGTGAAATAAGACTGCTAATTGTACAAAACTTACAGACTCAAGAAAATGACGATGCAGAGATTGAAGATAGGAGAAGAGAGAGAAATATCTTACCTTTCCCTTGTCAATAATTCGCAGAACATCCGTCCTGTTGGTTATATCCAAATCTGGAGAGACACCGCTAATTTCACCCACAAACTGTTCATGGAATGAAAAGAGTTAATCCAAGAAACTAAATTGATTTGGTTATGCCAGGAGAATGTCTCTTTTTCTTCTTCTTTTCTCTACTCCTGGAATGGAATAAGGGGGTATGTCATCATGAGGCATGGTGCTTACCTCGAGTGCTAGAGGTCCGGGTTCAATCCCCGGTAAGGGCTGGGATTTTTTTCACGTGGACTTGGACTTCTAGTAATTTCCCCTGGCCTCTGGGTATTGAGATCGGACGCCCCCGTGTGTGTGTGCATCCGTTTGACAGATCTGACACATTTGTGTGCAGACTGTTGGTTCCTTGCCTCTCAGGTAGATGCACTCCAACTTTGAAGGAAGCTCCCAATTAATCGACTCTTACGACATGCTTTTGGGTAGGCAGTGAGTCTACTCTTTTTTCCCTATAATAGGGCCCTGGAACTAACACGGGGGTGTGAGTTGAGTAAATTAGGTCCTTTAATTCTTTTCTTAAAATAAACTGATACAGTCTGCTACAGAATGGAAGCAGTAGAGAAGCACATCGTCCATACCAGTTGGTAAGTTGCTCGATGATGGTTTTAACAACGTTACTTATTACACGAAAGCCACCTACTTAACCTTCCAAGACAAAGTTAGAAATGGTGTTTCAGACAGACTGTAGAAACAACAGCATGCAGCAAGTTCACTGAGAAACAGAAGATCATTTAGTAAGAATGCAGACAGAACAACTACCAACACAGGCGCAACACATGAAAAGATCTTAAATGAAAGCAAAAGGCTGACCTAGGAGATGATGAAATGATGATATGAAAGAGCTTCTACATGACAAAAGCCAGTGCTGCCCATCAAGCAATGGATCACAAACTGTTCCTCCCCACAAAGCTTAACAGCAGAAGTGAAAACTGATGATGACAATTACGACTTATTACATGACGAGACAGCAAGTCAAATCTTTATAAATGTATACGTAACATACCTGAACTGCTTTCTCAACATAGTCTTCTATAAGATACTGTGATTTGATCTGATACATCGGAGTTTTCAAGTCATAGCTGTTCAATGTCCTCACTCGATCATAAACCTTGGACGATCGAGGCTCTGCCCATGTGGCTGCTGAAATATCCTGAGACTACAAAAACAAAAGCAGTAAGTATATAATATGTAGCTGAATTAGTGTATAACTTTTACAGCTGTTTTACAAATATTTTCTTTCCTAATTCTGCCCTTACAAGGGTTGTGATTTACAGCTAGCATTTGATATGGGTCTTTTTCAGCCAAACACATTTGATTTCAGCAAACCCTAAACTCTTTCAGTCCCAGAGTGTTTAGCATCAGAGGCCCAAGGGCCGTAAAGAAAGTTGTAAAAATCAGCACATCTTGCATTCATTAGGCTTCTAGGAAGGAACCTATGAATGCATGATGCATTCCTTGGGACTGAAAGGGTTAGTAAGTTGCCTTTTACAACAAAACTGTTACACACACCCCCCCCCCCCAACTCCAAATAGAGCCTAACACCCACACTTACTACTAATTTCATAAATAAATATTACTTCTATATCAGTTAGAAGAGAGTTTCCTGATCTGTTTGTTAAACTGTCCATTTTATAAAAACTGGTAATTTTTTGGTCATGTTGTCAGAGTAGAGGGCCTGAAAATCATTGACAGCTGTGGAAAGTGAGGTGTTCAAGTCAAGGTGGGGAAAATAGTAGATGGACTGACAGATTGCTACAAAACAATATCAGCTGTCAAAGTTTTCGAAAAAATAATGAAATACAGAAGCAGATGTAGAAAAAACTATAAGGCAACAAATATAACAATAATAACAATAATAATATTGCTGCATAAAATGAATTTTCAAAGATTGTTTTATCTAATGCAAATGAAGCCTGCGTAGATACTCCACCAGTTAAGACCATTCATGATTTCTTGTTGATGTTCGTTATTTATTAAGCACAACTTATTTGGATTTACATTAATTATAAACTGTATAAATATTAATGTGAATAAACCTGGTTGTATGTTATTGTGGATAACACTGTTGAGAACAGACACTTATTGTTTTGATAACAAATTTCGGTACTCCTGTCAAATCCGGACGAAGACTAAAAAGCCTTGGACGACTTAGTCAGAGTTCTCTCCCTTGGCCGCACTGCAAACAGTGATCGGAAAAGCCAACGAAACAAAGAAGACAGTCACGTCGACATCAGGGCTGCCAATGCTTGGTTGTTTCCCCCAGATCTGGGTTTTTTTTCGACGCTGCAGGACAATTCTGGGGTTTTTTTTGGGTGTGTTTTGTTTGTTGGTTTTTGCCGATTTGTATGCTTTAATGACCGATAAATTTGCGTGGTTAGGGGTAGGGGTTAGGGAGTAGGATTAGGGTTAGCGGTAGGGTTAGGTTTAGCGTTAGATTTGACAATTTTGACACCGGAGTTCCCTATATTCGCGCACAGTCCCATACACACACAAACAATCGAGGGCCTCTGGATGCTGGTCAAACGCACAATTCGCCAACGATTAGGGGCACCAGCCTCACGCTATTGGCGTCATATTTGGCAGAGTTTCAGTGGCGCCACTCCCACAAACATCAGATTGTTGGCTAGTATTTTGAAATCCTACGTCAAAATTTTCACATCTAACCCTAACCCTACCCCTAACTCTAAACCCTAACCCTAACCCTACCCCTAACTCTACACCCTTACCCTAACCCTACCCCTAACTCTAAACCCTAACCCTACCCCTAACTCTAAACCCTAACCCTAACCCTACCCCTACCCCTAACCCTACCCCTAACTCAAACCCAAACACTACGCATCCCTACACGCAACCGTATGATGACTACGCAACCCTGCACGCAACCGTATGATAACTACGCATCCCTTCACGATGCCTCACGCAACCGTACGCAGCCATACACGCAACCGTATGATGATAGGTAAGTGTGTCGTTTGTTTCGTTGGCTTTTCCGATCACTGTTTGCAGTGCGGCCAAGGGAGAGAACTCTGACTAAGTCGTCCAAGGCTTTTTATTCTTCGTCCGGATTTGACAGGAGAGCCCAAATTTCACATTAATTAATAAAGTGTGATCAATGATAGTACAATCAGACATTTTTCTTATCTTTGTCTTCTGCATTTTATCCCCATATGGAGCTCAGGCTGTCAACCAATTCACGCTAAGTTGTCGTATCCTTTGTCATCGCATTCAACTCACCTCATGTCCTTTCCATCTATTTACCTTTACTCTCTTTTTCCCTAGTCTGTGTGTTTTCTAGTCTGTCTTTATTCTTTGACTTTGTGGGTTCCAGTGCAAAGACATTCTGGTTCTCCTTGCAACTACGGCCACATATTAGGGAAGTACGCCGGAGTTCAGTCCCCTGGCCGCATTGCAATTACGGAATGGAGAAGGAACGAATCACACAACAAAGTAGCATATTTTCGGCCATTATTTGCAACTCCTATGTCAAAATTATCGGATATAGCGGTCGTCATTATGGGTAAGTACTCGACTTTACATGTGTTACCCTAACCCTATGATGACAGCAGTGCAGTGCCCTGCTGTCTATCGCTCACGCTGTCTATCGCCAACACACACTAATTACGACATGTCTCATACTGTTAAATTAAATATGCAGTACACATGTCAAAGAAGAAATACAGTTTAGAACTGAACAAAACTGCATCAATCTTTTAATCATCTTTATCTTTGCTGATGCTTCTTTACGTTTACCACTACTTTAAACTTACCTTCAAGATGAATATTATCAATGTATGTGTTTTAAAAGCTTTTACCTTTGCTTGCCTTGCTTTCATTTTGTATTTGTCCCCCATGTCCAGAAGATCATCATGTCCCGTGGCTGGGAATTTGTATTTAGCAACAATCAATATGCTAACTTGAAGTTACATGATCAATCAATACCGTCGGGAATCCATTTTGTTCACAAGTAAACATAGACCTAGACCTTATTTAAACCAGAGTAGCTCCCCTTTGAAATTGTTTCCCCTTCACGACAAACGGGATAACCATTGGTTTATTGGTTTATTCAACGGATCCACACCATGGCACACGGGTGTAACCCATAAGTGATCCGTTCTACTTCTAACCCAAGCCTGAGTGTGAAGAATCTCAGTGCAGTTCACGAACTCCGTTGCACCGGCGAGGATTCTGAAATACTTTGGGTAGATTGCAAATTTAGCCTGGGAAGCCCCGTTTGGCTACTCTTTTCAATTTCCAAATGCCAAGGGATTTTTTACGTACGCAACACTACACACGGGCGTCCGGGCTCACTACCCAGAGACCAGGGGGAAATTACTGGAAGTCCACGTAAAAGAAAATCCCAACCTTCCCAGGGGCCTGAACCCGGGACTCCAGCATTCGAGGCGGACGCCATACTTCGAGACCACGCAGCCCCCCCCCCCCCCCCCCACGGGATAACCAATAATTATGTTATAACCAGCAGGATGTGATGTAGCAGTATAAATGAAAACTGATAAGGAACTAACAAGAACACTTAAACTGAGTTAAAGATATAAACTTCATATACCACCATGGGAATTGAAACTGTGATTTGTAAACGTGAGCCGGGCAAAACAGATTTCATAAAACACTGAACCACTACAAACAAGTACCATAGCTGAGGAGAATATAAAAACATTGAAACTGATAACCTGATAATACACACTGTTGGATCCAAAAATGAGTAAGGGGAAGTAGGAGCAAATGTTTATATTCCTTACTGGAAAATACACACACAAAAAGTAACAAATCATAAGTCAATTTTCACAACCGAACTAGTCGTCATAATGAAAGCCTTGGAGATAGCATCACGAAAACAATATGTCTCTATAGATACAAATATGATAAGACAAAGACGGTAAGGTATGAAAAAGGAACTGGGGAAGGTAAATAATAAAAAGGAATTAAATTAAGTGAAATAACCTAAAGTGACAAAGACTGCCTAACTATCCCTTTATAGTAGGACATTGAGAAGTGTCATATACACAAACCAAAACACCCAAACTAGTAACCAAGGCAGTACTGCGAAACGCGCAGAATTATAGGTTATATCATATACAACACTAGGATCATTTGTTTATTTAAAAAAAAAAGTATTGCTCCGTTACGATCTGAACTCATAGGCGAGCGTCTGGCCGCTACATCACAGCGGATTCATTGAGTGTGTGTGTGTAAATATATGTACCTGTGTATGTGTATGCAAACACGTATACTTGTATTCCTAGGTGGGCGTGCACGCGGGTATGTATGTATACATTAGTGTGTATACTAGGGCTGTACCGAATATTCGCTTCGTATTCGCTTCGGGGCCGAATAGTCGACCTAATAACTATTCGGTATTCGGCCGAATAGTTGCGGTCGGGCCGAATACGAATAGTGGTTACCTTACACCCGTTTCTGGACTGGTGGAAAATGAATATATCAAGATTTCCCACCTTGGTCCATACTGTCAAGCGTTATCTTTGTGCACCACCTACGAGTGTACCAAGTGAACGTCTGTTCAGTACTGCTGGAAATACCTTCAGTGAGACAAGAAGCTGCCTTAATGCTGACAACATGGCTGTCAGTGACGATTTCCAACTTTAGTTACTTGTTATAAAACTAAGAATACTTTCATTCCTAAGTATTAGTTTGACTGACAGATTGACTGACTGAAGGATGCAAAACATGAAATGTTTTTAAATGTTTACTTTACTGTACTACATTTTGTGAAGTAAAATTTCAGCGTACATTTGACATTATGGAAGTTTTTTTTTTTTTTTTGAAGAATGGGCCCCAGTTTGAATAGTGGGAAGATAGAAGTAATGGTGGTATCAAAGAAAATAATTATTCCTAAATGCGTAATAAAAGTCAATGGTTTTATTTTGGGACAAGTACAGATATTTGAGTATCTGGGTACATGGATAACATCAGATGGAAGATGCATTACTGAAATAAGAAACAGAATAGGGCAGGCAAAAACTGCATTTTATAAAATGAAGAACATCTTATGCAATACAACTTTGTCATTGAAAGTTAGAAAAAGAATTCTTGCTTGCTACATACATCCAGTTTTAACATATGGCTGTGAGTCCTGGACAATCGGTAGGCAGGCCAAACAATTTCTTGAGGCCTTAGAGATGCGGTTTTACAGAACAATGCTTAAAATACCTTAGGGTGTCAGCACACGAACTAATACATGCTGCAGGAGATCGCAGATTGTCGGCAAAGCACATGATGATGATTCACTATTCGTATTCGTATTCGGCCGAATAGTTGGTCCAGCTATTCGTATTCGGCCGAATAGTGAAAATCACTATTCGGTACAGCCCTAGTGTATACACTACAGGGGAATATCACTGTTGGAAAAGTACTTGCGAGAATTGTTCTGTGAAGACTCCAGATCCTAGGAGATCGGGAATATCCAGTGTGGCTTTCGTGGAAACAGGTCTACCACTGATATGATATTTTCATTACGACAGTTGCAAGAAAAATGCCCCGAACAAAATCAACCATTGTATGTTGCTTTTATTGATCTTACCAAGGCATTTGATTTGGTTAGTCGAAATGGTCTGTTCAGCACTGAAGAAGATTGGGTGTCCACCTACCCTAATGAGCATTATCGAGTCGTTCCACACAGGTATGAAAGGTACAATCAACTTTGAGGGTGTAACGTCGGAGGAGTTTGTAATAAAAAAAAATGGAGTAAAACGGGGGTGTATAATTTATCCGACCCTCTTTGGAATATACTTCTCAATTCTTTTGAAACATGCATTTCGAGGTCAGGAGGGTGGAATATGCATCCATTCTCGACCTGATGGGTGCCTTTACAATACTTGCAGACTGAAGGCCAAAACCAGGATAAGAAAGGTACTTATCAGAGAGCTGCTGTTTGCAGATGATGCCGCAGTAACCAACCACTCAGAGGAGGAGCTGCAATGTTTACTATCTGCCTTTGCTGATGCGTGCTGTGAATTTGGACCAACAGTCAGCAAAAAGAAGACAAAGGTTACCGCTCAAGGTGTTGATGATAGACCAACAGTCAGCAAAAAGAAGACAAAGGTTACCGCGCAAGGTGTTGATGATAGACCAACAGTCAGCAAAAAGAAGACAAAGGTTACCGCGCAAGGTGTTGATGAAAGACCAACAGTCAGCAAAAAGAAGACAAAGGTTACCGCCCAAGGTGTTGATGATAGACCTACAGTCAGCAAAAAGAAGACAAAGGTTACCGCGCAAGGTGTTGATGATAGACCTACAGTCAGCAAAAAGAAGACAAAGGTTACCGCCCAAGGTGTTGATGATAGACCTACAGTCTACATTGACAGCGAGTAGCTGGATACAATAGACCATTTTACCTATCTGGGTTCCACCGTGAATGATAAACTATCCCTGGACCAAGAAATCAACATCAGGATAGGTAAATCGGCAACAACAATGAGCAGATTGACAAAGAGAGTTTAGGCGAACAGAAAACTCACAATTAAGACAAAAACCCTTGTCTATCAGGCTTGTGTTCTCAACACTCTGCTTTATGGCAGTGAAACTTGGTCAACCTATTCGCACCAAGAGAGACGACTTAATAGCTTTCACATGCGATGCCTAAGAAGAATACTTGGCATTAAGTGGTAGGATAAAATCACACACACTGAGGTACTGGAAAGAGCAGGTACTACAACAGTCTGTTCCATGTTCAGTCTGCGAAGGCTGGATTACATTTGGAGAATGGGGGATGACTGAGTCCCTACGGACATCGTTTGTGGTGAATTAAAGATGGGTAGAAGATGTCGAGGCCGACCTCTACTACGGCATAAAGATGTGTGCAGGCGGGACATCAGAAACCTCGCGCAACTCGTAGGTTATATTTAGGGCCCCCAACGACAGCAAGGTGAGGCTTTAAAACATTAAAAGGATTAGTAATTACTCCGCTCTTGTGCCTGTGAAAATCAAACGAAATGCTATCACTGCCCCGTGAGAAACAAAAACGGAAGTAGACTGCATTCTGGGCAAAACCAATAGCACGCTAACGCTTCTTCTTCTTTTTGTGTTCGCTTTCTGATTTACACCGACAGACAGGTTCTTGTGATAAACTTGACTGTTTTTATGAGTTCATTTTTAGTCCCATACAACTTTGTGTACAGTGGTGACTCGCTGGGCCAGTATTTCTTTCTTAATGGGCCGAACAAGGGACAGTCTTGCAGGACATGTTCTGTAGTCTGCACACATAGCCCACAAGGGCAAAAAGGTGAACTACTTAGACGAAGCCTGTGCATATGCTGGTTAAGTTTGTTATGTCCTGTCCTGAGACGTAGGACAATGACCTGCCCATGCCGGTCAAGTAAGTGGTAGTCATCTTTGGCCAGACTCTGTTCACTTCTAATAGCCTGGATGGCCCTTTTCTTCTCATAGTATGTTACTGCATTCTCTTCCTGGTCACATTCTGCACCTTTTTTAGCAAGTTTATCTGCTGTTTCGTTTCCTGGTATACTACAGTGGGATGGCACCCACTGGAGTACAGTACACTTTTGGGCAGTCACCTTGCCAAGTTCAGATCTCAAGTGAGGGAGTTTGCCACTCTTGAGGGCTTGAAGCACTGAAAGCGCATCTGTGAATATAACCACTTGGTGGCAGTCAGAACTGGTGTTGTGTCACAAAAGGTAACCTGCAGAAGTGCTAACATAAAAGTTCGCCACTAGAAGTGAAGTTTATTATTGATGAAATCAGCAGTTAAAACAAAAGTTTCTCACACAATATTGCATATGGCATTGCCAGTTCTGTGCCAATAGGCCGCTCGCCATTTTCTGAATCAGTAGTCACAACACAAACTACATTGGAAAGCCTTGTAAATGAAATCCACAAACCACATTGTCGCATCATCCTCTCATCCGAATAGCTACGTGACAGAACTGTAAACCTTCAGCTGAGGTGGGAGAAAATACAACACTAACCGTGGCCAGAAGCAAATAACTTGCCGAGATTAAAATTAGTGGTCTGCCTGTCCGCCATACTAGACCTTGAGTTAGTTCTTTTAGCCTATTAAAAACGGTTTAAATATTGTCCACATCTTCCTGTCCTGTGTATGTCGGTCATTTCCGCTCCAGATGCCACCGATTTAAAATCTTCTCTTTGTTTTTCCACTCTCCATTGCCATCTCGGCTTAGCTGTGATAGTGGTTGCAGTAGTAGTTTGTTCGTTTTCTCCGGGTGCTGCAGGAAATTTCAACCATCCCCGAGACTTCAAGAATCACACCCTGGATGACAAACCAACAGGCATAATCGCATGCACCCGTATAACCTTCCAAATACATAAAACTACTTGGCATGAGTTGGTTGAGGGTCAATGCTCCATTAGGGGTTAAAAGGACAGAAGAAGAACCTTCCAATAAGTTCTAATTGTGATACGTGATAAGGCTACAGTAGCACGTGTGGGAATGTTCCGGGTCCAGTGATGTCAATTCTCGATTCATTCATTCAAGGCTACAGTTAGAGCTAATCGGTGTATTCTGAGGTCCTGAGCCAGAAGTAGTAGAGGTGGTGGTGGTGGTAGTAGTAGAAGTAATAGTAGCAGTAGCGGGTTTTCCACTCATATTCCGTTAATTCCTTGTGAATTAAAATTAGGACACACACATTGCAGACTGCTTAAAGTGTTTTCGGATGTGATGAAATTTCGTTGTGAAAACCATACTGTTTATCCGCCGTAACCTTTCTTGCTTGAACTTTTATCTGGATAAGTGGCATTTCTGATGAGAAGAACCATTTCTTGGCTTCCACGTGAGTTCTCCGTATCAAGTATATATATATATATATATATATATCACACACACACATTACTTTCTAGATACTGAATTTAGGGCTGATTTTTATTGCATAGATTATAAAGAACTTTTATTTAAGCATGTCCAGACAATGAAGAAATTTGCTTTTTCTTATTTGAGTAAGTAATCTTTTTCGTGAGCAGTAATAAGTTAGTTAGCAAGGTTATCATTATTGCACTCCAAACATATCAATAGGTGTTCAGATTCTCCCCTCGGTATAAACCCCAGCGTCCGGTGGTTTATAGTACCACTTCTATGTTGATTTAAGGGGCTGCGTGGTCTCGAGGCATGGTGTCTGCCTAGGGTGCTAGAGGTTCCGGGTTTAATTCCCGGCAAGGATTGGGATTTTTTTCACGTGGATTTGTACTTCGAAATTCCCCCGGTCTCTGGGTAGTGAGATCGGACGCCCGTGTGCAATGTTGCGCACATAAAAAATCCCTTGGCGGTTGGAAATCGAAAAGAGTAGCACAACGGCGATGCGCGGGCAAAATTTAGAGTTAAAAAATCTACCCAAATTATTTTAGGATCCTCGCCGATGCTACAGAGCCTGTGCTGAGCTTCTTCGGACTTAGACTTGAGTTAGAAGAAGAACGGAGCACTAGTTGGTTACTACCCGTGTGCTATGTTGTTGATCCGTTGGCTGATTATAACAAGTCATCTGCTGTGCGTCTTGTAAGAGAAATAACAGTCAACGGTATAATTTTTAATTAGAAAAGATAAATTTTTAAATGGCAGTTTTATTTTGTATTTAATATTCTTCAGAGCTTCTATCTTTCCTTCAACAAGTGATGTGAGTTATGGGCTATCTACAAGTTCCAGCCCCTAAAATGGGGCTTTTGAACTCCCAACTCTATCATTCTGACGAGTGATGTGGATTCACTGTCCCTAAAGTCCTCCACCCTTCCCATTTTTTGGAGAGCATTAATAATATCAGCGTGATCCATAGGTTGACCGTCGGTAGTCATATCAGATCCAGGACGCAAGGGTGTCCCGGAACGAAAATATAGGTGACTCCACCCGCAGTGGACTTCTGTAATGATAGAAACCATTGCCTTGACATTGAACCTGCCTGAACCCTCCGGATCATACTCATAGAATCACTGAGCAGTAACATTATAAATAACTAGTCGAGAGAATTTGCTTTATTGTTGGTGCATCAGAACGAGGGTCTATGTGTGACCTCCACCCCCCCCCCCCTGTAAGGAGGAGGCTTGCTACCTCCACCAGGAACATTTTAATAATTGTATTGAGGACCCCCCCCCCCCCCCCCAATCATTTTTTTACGACATCCAGGTTTCTTTTTTCCGTGTGCCGTCAATGGAGGACCTGCCCTCGCCCCAGTGTCACCAGACATTGTTCAAACATATTCAAGCCATTTAAGGGGGCTGCGTGGTCTCGAGGTATGGTGTCCGCCTCGTGTGCTAGAGGTCCCGGGTTCAGACTTCACGTAATTTCCCCGGGTCTCTGGCAAAGTTATTTATAATTAAACTGACCCCCCCCCCCTTTCCCCACGAGGTTTCCCGGTAAACTCTGAGAGAAAGTTTTCTTGTTTGCCCACTTCTTGTTCTAGAATTTGATTTGTGTGCCTATGTCCATTTTACAGATCTGGCTCATTTGTGTGCAGACTGTCGGTTTCTCACCTCTTAGGTAGATCCATTCAGACTTCAAAGGAGGAAAACAGCTAACCAAGCAGAATTCACTGGAATTCTGCAACACCACAAGGATCACATGTTTGTGTGGTTACTTACACATGTGCATTTCTGGCCAGAGCAGTCCGTGTAGAAACACAGGTGTGCATGCCATTCTAAGATTATAATCCCTGGCTATGTCTCTGGTCAGACATACGCACCCACTGAAGCCCTTGTAGATATTCCCAAATGTGTGTTCAAGCTGGTTATTTGCAGAAATCCTGTTCCGCTATTTCGTGAGCTTTTATACCAGCCTTGATGGCCAGTAAAAATTGCTCAGTGGACCAGGCGGCGGTTTGCAAAACCTATGCCTGCTGTAGACTTCAAAAGCACTTCCCCAACAAAATATGACAATAAAAGAAAAACACACAATTCATTCTTTCCATTATAATGGTCCTTATTTTATTACCAGATGTTCCTGCTCTTGTAGAGGACAGAAATATGTTTTTAGTCTCCAGAGTACAAGTGACAATAACCAACTCTTGTTCACACATTCATTCATTATGGTTATATGGTGCTAATCCTAAATTTATACAGACTAATTGGTCACAATTGGTTAAAACAGATTTACTTCTTCTTCTTCTGCCTTTCTAACCCCCAATGGAGCATAGGCCCTCAACCAACTCACGCCAAGTTGTTCTATCCTTCGCTATTGTCCTCGCCATCTTTCTAACTTCATTCTCCAGCTCTCTTCTCCATGTGTTTTTTTTAGCCTTCCTTTATTACTATGCCCCGGTGGGTTCCAAAGCAAAGACATTCTAGTTATGCTGTTTTCTGGTTTTCTCAATGTGTGCCCCATCAAACGCCAGCGCCTTTTCCTCACCTGTTGGTCCACTGGCGCTTGCTTAGTTCTCACCCAAAGCTCTACATTAGGTATTCTATCATACCATTTGATTCCCTCTATTCTGCACTGGCACCAGTTAATAAATGTCTGTAATTTATAAGTAATTGCCTTAGTTGTTCCCCACTATGTGCTTTTACTTCCCAGAGAATTCACTTCTTCTTCTTGCTGTTCATCAAGTACTGGACTTTGGTCTTGTTCTAGAACGTGAGTTGTGCGTACAAATCCACTTAACAAATCTGACTTCCCTGTATACAGACTGTGCCATTCTTTATAATGCACTGTGTAAGGCGGTTCTTCGTATCTCCTCTTTACACCATCTTTGGCATGGTTTTTCCCTAGCTCTGAGCTCATTACATTTTTTTCAAATTTTGGTTATCTACAGACATGGAGAAGGAAATATATGTTAATGAGGAAAGATTGGAAGTGGTGGAAAATTTCGAATATCTTGGGTCACTGGTTACCAACAATGGTGACACAATGAAAGAAATTAAACGGCGACTATCAATTGCTCTTCAAAGACTAAAACAACTGAATAAATTATGGAATTGTACAGATAGAATTACATAGGTCAGATTTTTAAGAGCATGCATCTTTCCCATTGCAACATACGCCTGTGAGACCTGGACACTTACTAAACAAGCGGAACAGCGCATAAATGCATTTGAATATAAATGTTACAGACAGGTTCTAAGAATATCTTGGGTAAAGAAAAGAACAAATGCATCCATACTTCAAGAGCTGAATATTGAAGAGGGTTGGCTAGTAAAGACAATAAAACAAAGAAAATTGAAATATTTTGGTCACTTGAAACGTCATGGAAGTCTAGAGAGAACAATAATGGAGGGGTATATGCCTGGGAAGAGAGGAAGAGGAAGGCCAAGGAGAAGATGGGTGCAGGATGTGGCAGATGATCTCCAGATGGGTGTATCAGACGCAGGACATCTTGCTCAGGATAGGAAGGTTTTCCGGAGGGTTGTTATGGCAGCGAGGTTCCGCGAGGGACATGCTACTGAATGAATGAATGAACAGACAAAAATACTATTCTGAAAGAAATATGGAAAAACACTCAACAAAACTGTGAGCTCAGTAGTACAGTGGATACAATGCTAACCTGCAAACCTTAGGCTCAATTTAGGGAACCCACGACACTCGGCCTAAAACTGGTACCAGGAAATACGCCAGAAATTAAAGGCAACTAATGTCAAATATAAATTATAAGATCCATCGAGCACGGGCTGACTGTCTATGGAGACATAAGGTACTACTTCTTGCTCTTCTGGTCATTTAGACTACAGACACAACATGTTCTCACACAGTTTCTTTGATGTTGTCTTTCTATCTCGTTCTACCTTATTCTCTAGTAATTCTCTTCTTTTAGCGTGTGCCTTGTTGGGTATGGCATAACAAAGCATTCTCTAAGTGGGCAAACCATTTCAATTATCAACTCCCTCAAACTTCCACTATAATAATAATGTGCAGGTTAACCTACAACAGTCTCCAACTGACTGCTGCTTAGAGATCCCTGATTGTTGAGTCTACTTAAAGTATCTGCATACTGGAACTGGCCACTGTTCTCATATTCACTCATATCTAAAGCCACTATACAACTCTCTCGCACCACCCTCTCCGCATCTGCCAGGTACCGCTGAAGGATAGCCGTGGCTTCGGGTGTAGCTATTGATCCCAGTGCTTCAGCACACTCATGCCTCACCATTGGGCTCTCATTCACATCCTGCAGGTTTTCTGAGAGCTGTTTTATGCAGGCTTCATTCTGAATTTGGCCTAAGACATAGGCAATTTCATGGCGGAACAAGGCACCACTGCACTTTAAACCTGAAAAGTACGCAAAAAATATATAAAATAAATAAATTGCTGATTTTATACATATATATGTAATAATTGACCAAATACATACATGTTTATACAACATTCTGACAAATGGATGTAAGTCATGGGCAATGACAACAGCTCACAGAAGCCAGCTTCAGGCCTCAGAAATGTGGTATCTAAAAGAGGTAGTCCAAGCGACAAAAACATTTTGCAGTCAGACAATATGTCATGACCTTGAAACCCAGTACTTACGTACTCAAGGGGATCAGTCACAGTTAGGATGGTTTGGACACGTATGCAGAATCTTCCATCACAGCAGGCATTGGAAGCTAAGAACCAAGGAACCAGACCAGCAGGGTGACTTTGGGTTTCCTGGGAAGACAACTTCCAACAGTCTCTGATTGACAGAGAACTTGAATGGAACAAAGATAAAAAAGAAACACGCTGATAGAGAAGTCTGGCGATCTCACTGGCAAACACCTACACCCCAAGGCTGAAGACGAGTGTCTAAGTAATGCAACAAGCAATGCAAAATATAGGGCTAGACCTATACTTTATAGACCAGTTGGCACTTCGTGGGTGATGTGGTCAGCATCATGCCGGCCAAGTCTGTATAGCTCAACTGTAAACAATGTTGGCAGACACTAGTAAGAGAAGATAAACTCAGGGAATAATTTTCTAGAGTCCCAGAGTGAGTTTCAAGATTCCTTTTAGGGGAGAAAAGAAATAGACCCACAGCTCCTAACAAACATGTCATAAAAGAAGACCAACTAGAAGTTCGCTGGAATCAGATGTTTTGAGCCAAAAAGTGGAGACATCGCAGCCTAGTTGTAAACCACAACATATCTCGCCAACTGCTTTTTTAAGGGCAAACACACACAGAAGAAGATTTCTCTGTAACTTTTTTCTTCTGCGTTCACCCCCGAAAACACCAGCTGGCAAGTTGTATTGTAGTTTACAGCTAGGCTACAATATCTGTACCTCTTGGTTGGACAACTTATTCCAGCAAACTCTTACATAATCGTATTCTACAAATGCATATTGGGGAGAGGAGGGTGGGTTTTGTTTTACTCAATGAGTCCTCCAAAGCCCGCATGGGAAAACTTTCTAGAGTGATATCTAGTGATGCGTGTAACGTTTTTTTCAACGTCCACCCTTAATAAGGCAGTTGGCAGGTTGTGTTGTGGTTTACAAGAAGGCTGTGATATCTGCACCTTTCAACCCAACACAATCAATTTCAGCAAGACCCTGATTAGTCAACAATATGGCACGCATGTTAAGGGCTAGCCGGTCTACACTTTTCCCCCAAAAATGGGACCCCGGAAGCCACAAGGGGAATGTATGTAACTGAAGCATGTTGTAGGAGTCGACTAACTGGGGACTTCCTTCGAAGTCTGAGTGCATCTGCTTGAGCGGCAAGGAACAACCAACAGCACACAAATAAGCCAGTAAAACGGATGTACATGCAAAACTCAGGCCCTGGCACAAAGCCAAAGTCCAAATAACCAGGACTTTCCGCTGAAGCTTACAGCCGGTGAACAAAGAAGAGGAAGAAGAAGAAGAACTGTATCTTACCATCTGCAAGCGCTAGTACTGATTCTGTGGTTGACATATTCCGCAGAGTAAACATGGCCCTGTACCTTTGAAAAAGAGACAGTGTCTCGTCTAGTAATGCCTGCCTGAGCTCTTCAACAGGAGCAATTTTTGCAGGAGGGGTTGGATCCACAGAAAGATACGGATTTCCAGGGAGGTCCGTCTCGACCTTAGCATTGTCTGCTAACCACTTTAAGCGACCTAAAGCCAACTCACAAGTCTCTGCAACCTGATGGACAAAAGGCATCAACAATTCAAACTTCTTGTTTTTTAAATAATGTAATTAGTAACTTAAAAAAAGTAGCTGATAAATGAGCTATTTGCGCCAACTTTGTGCTATCAACTCCAGACATAAACATCATCATGTGCCCAGCCAACTGGCGTAGGCGCTCATGCATCTCCACAGGTCACGATCCCTGGTTGCCTGAAACAGCTCTCTTGATGATATCCGTCCATGCCATCATTTCAGCCCATCCAGCATCGTCTCTCTTGGTTTGCCTCTACCCCCTTTTCCACTGATCTTTCCAGGTGTCAGGATGTTTTCTAATGTCTCTATTCCCATTATGTGGCCCCAAAAAAACAGTGTTTGTCTCTTTCTTATTGTTGTATACAGAGATCTACTTTCATTAGCTTCTTTCAAACAATCGTTGTTAGTTACTCTGGCCGTCTAAGGTATTCATAACATTTGTCTCAGAAACCACATCTCTGTTGCTTCCAAATTCTTCTTAATTTGCACAATGACATTGAAAGATTCGCTGCCATACAGCAGAACAGGTTCTACATAACATTTTAGCAGCCTCTTTAGACATAAACAGCCCTAGAAAAAACAAATAATTACAAAATGCGAGATGAGATGTGTTAGAAATGCTGGTGAAAAAACAAAAAGAGAGGCAGGGTCACTAGAGAAAAATAATGCTAGGCAAAATGCTGAGAACGACTTTCTAGAGCAGTAATTCCCAAACTGTGTGCCCTGGGACAGGGCACTGCAAAATATTGAAAAAGCTTCATAATTAATTTAACCAAGACATGAATAGTCATACTCTTACTTATGTTAGGGCGCCATGGAAAAATTTTAATTTAAAAAGGCGTTGTGACCAAGAAAAGTTTGGGAAACCTGCCCTAGAGCATAAAAGAAAACAACACTTTGGTCTTCTGGTCAGAATAGAACAAAATCAGCCAGCAGCTAGAGCCTAACAAATTAAAGCAGCAGGCTAAAAGACAAGAGATCGACTAAGAGAGACACTACAAAAAACACAATATGACTTTAACACAAGCTACCATATTAGCAATAGACGGAAAAATTACATCTAACTCTTTCCTGCAATGTTTTACAGCATAAGCAGTAGGAGAAAAGAAGAAGATATTAAATGAGTAGTTCAAGCCTTGGGTATTATGGTGCGTTTCTGAAGTTGTGCCCTCACACAACTATGTTAAAAACTCCTGTATTGATCAACACAAATTTTTGCATATGGACTTAAAATTTCCCATGTCCTTAAGACTCCAGAGGCTGCCGTTTTCTCAAAGCAGAAAATTTCTTTGAACCTTGTAGGACAGATAATTTGTTTACCCTTAAAAAACTGAATATACAGTAACTGAAACACCCGCAGAGACTGTTGGAAATAAATTCACATATGCAGCAATGTGTGGTGATAATTTTCATAGCCTATCCCATATACAATAGAAAGTGCACAACTCATGGGAGGCTAAGGAGTGAAACTCCTATGAAACACATGCACTCTAATGTTTTGAAAACTTCTTGTTACTCAGTTAACCGTAAACATGCTGACTGTTTACTCTGAATCAGTGTCTGTTTTTTTTAATAAACCGCAAATAGAGCAAAATGAAAACTAGACTGTTGACATTTCAAAAACAAAATATCTTTCAAGGACATGATGATTACCTGGTTGCATTTTGTGAGAACTGTTTGCATCTCACTAAAGGCCATCTGTTCCTAAAGAGCCGTATGTTTGCATCTTACTAAAGGCCATCTGTTCCTAAACAGCCATGTTTGCATCTTACTAAAGGCCATCTGTTCCTAAACGGCTGTATGTTTGCATCTTACTAAAGGCCATCTGTTTTTAAACAGCCATATGTTTGCATCTTACTAAAAGGCCATCTGTTCCTAAACAGTCATATGTTTGCATCTTACTAAAAGCCATCTGTTCCTAAACAGCCATATGTTTGCATCTTACTAAAGGCCATCTGTTCCTAAACAGCTGTATGCTTGCATCTTACTTTAGGCCATCTGTTCCCAACCAGCCATATTTATTAACTTGCTTAAGAACGTTGCAATTTTTTTGTATTTCACACTTTGGTATTTCTTTTGTCTTGGTGATGACCCGGGGCCACGTTAGTGCAGTTGATAGGAGACTTGCTTTCAAAACCGGATGGTTCCCGGGGTTCACCCAGCCTCCAGGAAATGGGTACCAGAGTTAACACACTGGGATAAATGGAGGAACGTTGCTGTAGCTACAAAGTTTCATGAGGACGACGACATGGCAGACAGTTTCTATCAGCTGTATGTATGGGTGGCAGAGCACTTGTGGTTTATAACCGTGTGCAATGACGCTGGGTCACATCTACCGACTTTACTTTTACCTTACCTTTTTTGGTGATGACCATAATTTCCATTTAATTTAGCTCTAAGCTTAGTTCTCACTGTGAATGACTACTGCATCCACTAAACATGAAGATCTTTTTCATTGTCTGCGGTTAACACCATTATTACAAAATATGTATATTAAAACAGTTTTCTCTTCTTCTGCTTTGCCATTGAACAGGTGGCAGCACTTGTGTTACAGTTTACAGCTGGGCTGTGATATCTGCACCTGTCAGCTTAACAACATCCAATTTCAGCGAACCCTTGATAAATTGCCCTTTTCAATATACTTGTTTAGGGGCAGCGAGTCAAATGTTTTCCTTCACAAAATGGGGTCCTGGAACCCACACTTGGAATTAAAACAACAAACAGGGTGAAAAAAAACCCTGATAAATGGCACTCCATCAGCTCTATTCAACAACAGAATGTTAGATGGGCTTTGTGCTAAATCCCCAAGCCTTAGAAAATAAAGTTTATTCATTCCTTTTACCATCTGTCTCTCTAAAAATTGCACGTCATCATCATCACCAAGTGTTTTACCAACTGGCATGGACAATCATGCTACTACTCCACACCTTGAAATCTCCAACAGCATCAATAAGTTTGTGTGCTGCTGATACCTTTACACAACATGACAAAAGCTTGCCAAAAATCCCTCCATAAATGCTCACTTCTCCAATGCAGCAACAATTTCAAGGTATCTCTACTAAACGGGACCACAGTATGGGTGTACACATTTCACAGTAGACAAGGGAGTGCCTGATGTGCAGTGGTGCCAAATGTAACAACAAATTTATATATCTTTATAGGAAAGAATGTAAGTGAGGCATGCATGCCAAATTATTACCCCCCACAAAAAAGTCTCTTTCACACTGTCACAAACTGTTATAGTTTTCTCTTCTTATATCCTGAAGAAAAATAAATTACCTTTTCTGATGTTTGTGGTAAGATATTTTCATGTCTTAGTTTTTTTAACAACAACAAAAAACATCTAAATGCTCTTCTGTACAGGCCACACCACTGAAACAAAGACCTCTATGATTTGTTTATTTATAGCAAATGTGCATGCAAGTATATATTTATTAATTACAAACTACAAGACATAGAACCTACTTCAACAACAGGATCATGCAAGTATTTCTTCAGTACTTCACACACTGATGCATCCCCAATTGCTCCCAAAGCTTCACCTGGTTTTTAAAAAGAAAGGATAAATTTCAGCTATCGCACTGATTTATCAATACTTTATACTTTGACCACGATAAATAAACATATTCACGATGAAAAAAGAAGTCATCACTACAGGCCCATAATATACTTAAAAAACTGTTTGGACTAAATTATTTTAATTCAAAGAGATTGATGCATGACGAGGCAGATGTGGTCAAGGCCCTTTGGGAACAAGCAAAGGAATCAGTAGAGAAACAAGATTATTATAACCTGGAGAAGATGAGGCACCTGGGTGTAACCAGGGGGTCTGGCCAGCTCACGACACTCAGAGGAAAGGCAATACGGACATTAAACCAGATTGTGACCGATACCATCAGTATTGGAACTCTGCGCTGGCTGCTGAAGATAAGGACGGAGAATGTCCCGAGTGCTGTGATGTTGAAAGTTGTGCATGTTTTAGGAGGAAAACAAGAAAAGACACAGTGCCCACTAAAAAAGCATGTTTTAGAAGGTGGTTGACAACTCGATTGAGGGTACTGGGACTTAACAGCTGGTAAAACAGGGGCATCGGTGCAAGAGCTGATCAACGAAGATTCACACCCATGAAACATCATTATATACATAGAAGGATCAGCATTGAGAGGTAAGACAAGTGGGGAAAAAAGGAGGGGGGGGGGTTTAACCGCTAAGGTCGATTACACTATAATCTCACAACATCCAGTATGAGGATTGAGGTGGCAATGGCAGCTTTCCGATGGCTTGAAGAGCATGTGGTCATTGTAACTGACTCACAGAGCATGCTTCGGAAAATAATAACTGGCTTCCTACGTGCAGAGTGGATTGCTTCGTTTGATAAAACTCTGATCAAGACATATCATGGATTTTCTGTCCAGGACATTCAAGTGTGCAAGGTAACGAGCAAGCTGATAGGCTGGCAACTGCAGCTTCTCTGGGTGGTGAGCTATGTTATGATAAAGTGGAAGTGGTGAAGGCTCTCTGGAATTAAGTGGTCAGTGCGACAGAATAAGCTAAGTATCCAAACACTGATAGACCAATATAGCAAGGAGTGAGTGTGGGTTGTGGAAGATATTCAACACTGCGGGGAAAACATGGGCAGACTTTTAATCGGGTTGCAACATGTACTATTAGCATATCGACTCTTCGTTGGCTACTACAGTAGGAGACAAAGCACCTGTGGGAATGTATCGAGTGCAGGGATGTCAATTCTTGATTCATTCACACAAAAATATAAGCTAGCATGTTTGCCTGCTGGTCATAGATTCCTTCTTCTTCTTAGCATTCACTGTTCACGGGCTGTAAAGCCGGGCACAAAGTTCTGGTGGTTCATCTATTTCTGGACTGTGTCTTATTCCCTAACATGAATTTTTCATGCACATCCGTTTTACAGATCTGGCCAACTTTTTGATTACTTGTCTTTCAGGCTGAGGCAAATTTTGTGGCAAACACAATAAGTTAGTTGCTCTCACGACAGGTTTGCCAGGAGGCAGCAGATCTAGGTGCAGCCAGGCTGCGATATGCGCTTTTGGGCCCAGCACTTCCCATTTTAGCAAACCCCTAATTATAGAATCTTTTACAACATGCTTGTTAGGGGCTGTCTATCCCCCCCCCCCCCCCCCCCCCCCCCCCCATCAATGAGGACCAGAACCAAACACTCAATGTGCCATACTGCACTAAAAAAAATTATTTATCTATTACATGTAAGAAAACACAACAAAGATAACTGGTACTATCAGCCACTGGATGCTGGGGTCCATGCTGAGGGGAGGATTTGAACATCTATGGACATTTCCAGAGTGCAATGATGAAAACCCAACTAACTAACCAACAACACAGATAACATAAATTTGAAGAGGGAAAAACCATACCAGCTTCATGTCGAACAATTGCCTCCTGTGATGTGTCTTCGAGAACTCTGATTAAGTATGGGATAGCATGAGTGTCCTGCATCTGACCCAAACAGTAGGCCAGTTCATGTTTCAGTAGAGCAGACTCATCATCAAAGCAGCTAGCAATGGCATCCACTGCTTCATCTCCACCAAGGTTTCGTAAAGTAAACAAAGCTCGAAATCGATCTTTTAATGGCTGACTTTTGTTCTTCAGAACTTCCCCAATTTCTTTTACGGACGACATGGTATACCAGATATGGCTGAAATTTCGGAAACACAAGTTTTAATGACAACTACAAGCAAAATCACAAGTAACTAAGGTCTTTAAAGATCACTGTCCATTGTTGTCACATACAGGTAGACATGACATCATCGTCGGCCTTGCCGACTGGCATGGGCAATCACACCTCTCCATAATCTTCAATATTCAACGCTGTGTATCAGTTTGTATGTCAGGATAAGTAAAGGATCTTTTCTACGTCTACAGGCATACTGGGCTAAACCTATATTCTAAATATTATACACCAATCAGCCTCTTGGCGGGTGATGTGGTCAGCATCATGTTGCTCACCTTTACTTGCAAGGGCTTTAACTCATTTAAGGCTGTGTCGACCTGTGAACCAAGGTCATTTTCCAACCCAAGATATTCATATCTGCAGGTAAACATCTAGCCAAGCTCTATTCCACTAAGTTTACTGAGTGGTCAAAAGCCCAAGCCTTGTCACAGAAGGATCATTGGCTAACCTTCGAATAATGGTCCCAAATTATCGAGGCCAAAAATATACCCTAACAGGGCCTCAGTCACATGTAAATTGCGGACTTCCGACGACTACCATCACGGCCAAGAGTATATACCGCGCCGCTACGTGCAGCGTGGGGCTTAACTACATGGCTGGGACTCACGAGCAATTAAAATGAAGGAAGCTGCAGGAGATGCGGTAGCTGCTGCTTGTGAGTCCCAGCCATCTTGTTTAGCCCCCACTCTGCGCCGCGCGCAGCAATGCGGGAGATACTCTTGGCGGTGGCAGTAGTCCCCGGAAGTCCGCAATTTTAGTCGACGGAAGTCCGCAATTTACATATGAGTGAGGCTCTGTTATGGTATATTTTCTGCCTCGATAATTTGGGACTGTTATTCAGAGGATAGCCGGATCATTAATATGATATAATTGGTAATGATCCGTGAGCCCTTAATAGGGATCCAGTTAACTAACCCTGGGTCTAGCTGTTTCACTATGGCAGATCCCATAATTATTATGTGTTGAATAGCAAATTTAATTTTAAAAATATGAACTTTATAAACAAATGCTGACTATTAATTAAAAGAAACGTGGCAAGGGGATGCTACCTAAACAAATTATTGGGAAGGGTTCTCGTCACTCACACTGGTCACACTTTGGGTGGGGGCACTCAAGGTGCGAAAACTTATAGGTCTAGGTATCTCAGTTTGTGGGTGAAATTTATTATTGTCATTTGTCATTCAGGAATTTAGCTTTAACTACTTCAAAAGATTGTCTATTTGGCTTTTTTTAATTGCCATATTTCAATTAGCAATTAACTGCTGTGGTTTTTTTTTTAGGCTATCCTCCGAATAACGGGCACATATTATGGCGGCTGCAAAAAAACCCTAACAGAGCCTCAGTCACGTATCAATTGCGCACTTCCGGTGACTTAATTTGCTAACTTCTGGCGACTACCGCCGAAAGTATCCCCCACGTCGATCACGCACGGTGGATTGGGGCTAAACTAGATGGCTGGGACCCACGAGCAGCAGCTTCCGCATCTCCTGCAGCTTTGCTCCTGAATCCCAGTCATCTAGTTTAGCCAAAGTCCTCGGTGGTGGCAGTAGTTGCCGGAAGTTCGCAATTTGCATGTGACTGAGCCCGTTTTTGGCCGCCATAATATGTGCCCGTTATTCTGAGGATAGCCTATTTTTATTATATTGAAATTAAACATGCAAACTTGCACTATCATTAGTCTGAGAGGGTTAGATGTAAAAATCTACTTACATAAGATATGGGTACTCGGGCTATCTTCCAAATAACAGTAACGGTCCCAAATTATCGAGGCAGAAAATATATCCTAACAGAGCCTCAGACATGTAAAATGCGAACTTCCTGCGACAAATTGCGTACATCTGGCGACTACCGCCACCACCGCTTTGCGTGGATTGGTGCTAAACTAGATGGCTGGGACTCACGAGCAGCAGCTACCGCATCTCCTGCAGCTTCCTTCATTTTATTTGCTCGTGAGTCCCATCCATCTAATTTAGCCCCAGGGAGATACTGGGTGGCGGAAGTCTGCAATTTACATGTGACTGAGACCCTGTTAGGGTATATTTTCGGCCTCGATAATTTGTGACCGTTATTTGGAAGATAGCCAGTACTCATGTTTTTGTAACACTCTAATCTGATGGTGTTATTCTTAGCTGTTACTGTTAGCAATTATTATTATTTATTATAAATTCTTTCTAGAAAACTAAAACTATTTAATTAAAATTTAATGTATGTTTTTATGGATATCCCCGAATAACGGGCACAAAAGATTGCAGCCAAAACAGGGCCTCAGTCACGTGTCAATTGGGCACCTCCGGCGACCTAATTTGTCACAATTTGTGGTTTTCCGGCGACTACCGCCACCGCCGGGGGTATCCCCAGGCGGCATGGTTTGGGGCTAAACTAGATGGCTAGGACTCATGAGCAAAGCTGCAGGAGATGCGGAAGCTGCTGCTCATGAGTCCCAGCCATCTAGTTTAGCCCCAATCCCTCCCGCGTGAGCGGCGTAGGGCCGTAGGGGATAATTTCGGCGGTGGCCGCCGGGAAACCGCAAATAAGGTCACCTGAAGTGCGTAACTAACACGTGACTGAGGCTTTGTTAAGGTTTTTTGGCGGCCGCCATATTTTGTGCCCGTTATTCGGAGAATAGCCGTTTTTTATTTTTTTTATTTTCCTACTTTTTTTAATTTTAGTTGAGTCTGAATTTCAAAAACCTATCCTTGACGAAAGACGATAATTCCACAAAAATTTTGAACACTAGTGTATCAAGTCGATAACATTTCATTAGTACAAGAGCATATGTACATTACCTCGACACTGTCTTCGTCGGAGAAAGAATAACAGCTGAAGAATTTCAATAACAACTCGCTGTTTCTGTCAGCATTTAACCATGTTTCACCAAGACAGGAAGTGGAAGTCTTTGTTGATAAAAGATAAGAATAAGAAGAACTCCATAGGGAAGCATGTATAGCAGGGTCCACCGATCATCAGTAGAAAGATCCCTGTCGACAATTGTTTCTTTCCATTAACATTCCTCTATACAATCTGGGAAGGTGGACCGACCTGGGTCATGATTCCCAGGCCTCGATCTTTCCCTGCTGAACTTTATCGGATGTTCTCGGACAGTTAGTTAGGTTATCATTATTACGGACATGTCCATAGGTGCTCAGAACCTCTCCTCAGTATGAACCCTAACGTCCGATGGCTAATAGTACCAGTTCTATGTTCATTAACAAGTTGTCTGGTGTGCGTCTCGGTTTTTTTTTTTTTTTTTTTTTTTTTTTTTTTTGTTTGTTGCTTTGCCTATCCAAGTCTGCCATTCTAGCAAGTGATGTGGATTCACTGCCCCCACTGCTAGTCTTAGTTTCAGCTTTCTAGCAAACGGGTCACTCCATCTTTGCTCCGCTCCTGTGCCAACGAAAAACACACAGATTGTTTATTACAGTCCCTTGTGGAAAGATTGACAGACTGCTGTCTCAAAATATCTAGCATACACACGCATTAAAGCATACGGTAGCCATCCGATGAGCTAACACAGACAGTCCGACATTAGAAATGCAGTTCATCGTTGATCTTACCAACAGATCAGAAGTTGCACACGCGATCAATTTTAATCACATAGGGGCACCACCAACTTTGCGACAGCAGGCATTGCGCCATTTTCTGAATCCACAATTTACACCACCACGTTGGTCACCGTTAAAAAAAACCATTCCAAATGAAATCCGCAGCGCACAGTATCACGCCATGCATTCAACTCAGAAGCTGGGCGACGAAACTATATCCAGTCTACAAATGGAGCAAAAATGCATCGGGCATCGTCCGGCAGAAGCACAAAATTTGCCTCGGCTCCAAACAGTGGCCGTGCCTAGCGTCCATTTTGACAGCCAGCGTCCATTCTGCCCCCACTGTTCTCGGACAGTGACAAGATGATATGGTGATTTGTAACAGGTGTTGTGAGAATTATTAATATTGTCGCTGCGGTAGCAAATTAGATAAGTCGACTACCTTACGACCATGGTGACAACCTTTTGGTTGGTTCATCGGACAAGTGTTAGACTTTGGCATTTAGACTTCTGGCAGTTGACAGAGGGACATTGGCAGACATTTAGGACACTTTGGCTTTTAAGGGATGAGCCGTTCTTTTTCACTAGAGACTCGGCCCAGTCTATCGAGGCCAATCTCCCACGACGTTCCGTTGCGTCCAGAGCCAGCTCAAAGCTCTTTCAGCAGTTTCGCCCAGTTGTTTTAGTGACCGTTTGCGCTCGTCTCCTCGCAAGCCCAGCTGCTTTAGCATAATGTACATTGAAGTGGAGATAAGACCTCTTGCGCCTATTTCGACTGCGAAGATTTTTGATGCGTACGCTTCATCTCTCCTCAGACCGGCAACTAGCTCACAGTACTTTTCGTGCTTGTACATGTGATTTTCTTCGATCCGCGACTCGTACGGCACGGTCAGCTCAACCAGGATGAGCTGGCGTTTTTCACAGTCTAGAACTATGTCAGGTCTTAGGTCGGTCTTCTGGATTGACTCTAGGTACTTCTCGATATCCGGCAGGTCGACAGCTAGTAACCAGTCCCTCGCACTGTCAAGTATCGATGGAGCGCATGCGACCTTGTTGATTTTACCTTGTTAAATCTGCCCAGCTTTGAGGAAGCGTATGGGAGTGACGGTGGGACTGACCCTCGCATTTGCCTTTATCCTGGCTTGGTCCACAATATCCGCTAACTCTTTTAGACTTTATCGTGGCGCCAAATGTATTTTCCCTGGCCTAGGGCTTTTCTGCACGCAAAAAATACGTGCTCGAGCGTCTGTTTAGCTCTGCAAATTGGGCATGTCAGGTCGGTAGTTGCAAGCTATGTCACCACGTGGACGACAGACGATAACACGTCGTACGCAGATCTCAGACAAAGCTCAGTCTCGGCGAGAAAATTCACCACATCTCACCCCATGTGAGTACTTGTGTCAAGG